CTGGTGATCCCCGATTGATCCTAGGGAAGGGTTACAGGCATGGCGGCCTGGGGGGTTATGAGCTCACTCACCCGCAGTGGGGTACTCTAGAGCGAGTACAACCCAATTTAGGGTTTCCTATATGTATCTTGCAGCTGCTAGTCCAAAACCCTCTTTTCTGTTCTATCGTTTCTGCCTACTGTTTTGACATGCTATCAGAGCGATTACGCTCCTGGCCTGTGGGCCCACCGTTAGCTTCCGCTGCTGTCCTGTCTGTCGCGCGCCCCGTGGCGTGCAACGTTTTTTCTTCCCGCCACACGCTCGGGGCGCATGGCGGTTTTCTGCTCGCCGCGCGTACGAAGCGCGTGGCGGTTTTCTGCCCACCGTGCGCCCCGAGGCGCGCGGCGGTTTCCCACCGTCGAAGCGCCCCCGGAGACCTACGCGTCGCCCCCCATCGCCCGTCGAATCACCCCTGGGACCCGCGCGCGGCCCGTACAGCCTGCGCGCGGCCCGTACGACCTGCGCCAGGCCCGCGCGCGGCCCGTACAGCCCGCGCGCGGCCCGTACGGCCTGCGCCAGGCCCATGCGCACCTGCCCTGCCGTGCGCGCACCCACTCCTGCCCCGTGCTGCCTGTGTTAGGGTTTGGGGGTGGCGAGTATGGGGGTGACGGTTGTGTGAGGCCTCCCCTACTCCTCCTCCTCCGTCTCCCACTGCTGCAGCTGCCGCTGAGGGGGGTGGATGTGTGGGAGCCGTCGGAGTGGTACTAGGGAGCTGGCGTGTGAGCAGTGCTAGGGGTACAGCAGGGGGTGTGTGAAAGGGGTGTGGGACACCTGGGAGAGGTTGAGTGGAGGCAGCCGTCTTGTCGTCCGCAGCGCCTGTAGTCCGGGGCTCTGCACCTGGTAGCCCAGAGAGCCTGCTGCGCCTGTCGCCCGTGGGTCCGTTGCTCCTGCCGCTCGTCTTAGCGCGGAGCCAGTTACTCCTGTAGTCCGGGGCTCTGCGCCTGGTAGCCACAGTGTGCGCGCTCCTGTTGCCCGTGTGTCTGCAGCTTCAGTCATCACCTCCCATCTTCTCGCCCCTACAGTTTCTCCTCCTCCTCACTTGCCCTCTGTGATAGCCTCTAGCTTTGCTTATCATTGTGAACTATTGCTCTGCCTGCTTATTGTGCTGATTACACCCCACTTTGGCTATGGGGGTGTGTCAGAATGTTGTATTTGTCTAGCCTGCAGTGGGGTACTCTATAGCGAGTACAGCCCAATTTAGGGTTTCCTATATGTATCCTGCTGCTGCTAGTCCAAAGCCCTCTTTTCTGTTCTATCGTTTCTACCCACTGTTTTGACAAGAGAGATTCTGCCGAGCCAGCAGCCGCCCCTCCTCCTCTCTCTCACTGTCGCTCGTGTCAGAATCCCAGCCACTAACCACTGGGATAAAAGGGCTTGTTTGTGTAGCGGGTGAGTGCGCCCATAACCCCCCAGGCCGCCATGCCTGTAACCCTTCCCTAGGATCAATCGGGGATCACCAGTGGACCTCTGACACCCCCCCGCACTGGGATGCCCGAGGTGCCAACACCGGGATTCGAACCCGAGACCTTCGCTCTGATACCATGTCAGAATCCCAGCCACTAACCACTGGGATAAAAGGGCTTGTTTGTGTAGCGGGTGAGTGCGCCCATAACCCCCCAGACCGCCATGCCTGTAACCCTTCCCTATGATCAATCGGGGATCACCAGTGGACCTCTGACAGCTCGTGCCGCGGTGGGGGGAGGGTGAGGCGATGGCGGAAGTCAGCCGGGCATCTGTAGTTGCCGCCCGCTGCTACCGTGGCACCTCTTGCTGCCGCCGCTGCCACCACCTTCTGCTTCTTCTGCTGTCTGTTGCTCTTGAGCGGCAGTTGCTGCCGTTGAGCCCTGTTGTGCCGCCGCACGTTGCCGCCGTACGCACCCGCTCTCCAGGTGACCTGCCGCCACATGCACCTGCTACTGCTGCTTCTACCTTGGCTGAGGGGTTGGTGCAGCTGAATCTGCCACCACTGCACCGGTTGCCACTGCTCTTGTCTACTGTTGTTGCTTTCTCTGTTTGTGGTGTACCCATCCAGGAGGTGATGGTGCACAAACTCCAGCTGAAGGCAGTTTTGGGGAGTGTGGGAACATATATGTAACTGCTTATAGCTGTAGTTTAGTGTAGTTATTATAAACTTTTTGAGGTGCACCTTCTTTTCACGCTCCGTTTGCTATTTGTATCCCTCTCTCAATATTGAACTGTAGCTACAATAGAACATATAGAACTGTATCCCTCTCTCAATATTTGTATCCCTCTCTTAAAAAAGTTACTGTAGCTACAATAGAACATACAGCAAGCAGGTTATATATATAAAACACAACTTAACACACCCCCTTAACACAGCAAGGCGACACGCATAGGGGAGGAAATTTCTCACATGAAAATGGGCGTTCCGCATCAAAACATTTGCAGACGGATCCGTCTAGAAATACAAAGCACGCTGGGTTATATGCAGCTTCGAGCAGACACACAACATCGACTACGACCAAACCTTCGCACCGTTGGGAAGACACACATCCGTGCGCATTCTGATCTATATCTCCGCCGTCAAAGAGCGCCCACTACGCAAGATCGACGTGTCCAATGCGTTCCTGTTCGAGATTGTCGACGCCATCATCTACGTCGAGCAGCCGCATGCCTTCGAAGAAGGCAGTGACGCCGTGTGTCTTCTCTAAAAATCACTGTACGCCATCAAGCAAGCACCGCGGCTGTGGCAGCAGTACCTCCACACGGTCCTCATCGAACTCGGCTTCCAGCGGCTTCCCCATGACCAACGGATGTACCGCCTCGAATCACGCACCCATTTCATCCTCCTTGTCGCCTACGTGGACGAACTTCTCTACACGGGGAACAATGTCGAGCTACTCGACTGCTTCGAGCATGACATCAAGCAGAAGCTCGAAGTGACAATGGATCACACGGTAACACAATTCCTCGGCCTCAACCACGTGGCGCACCTCCATGAATGTTGGGAGTGTTGGACTAAGAAGAGAATAGACTTTGGAATTCCCGAAGGTGCAGCAGTATCGCACCCGTCACTATCGAAGCAACGCTAACGACAAGTATCGGATCAGCCCATGCGAGGGCAGGAAGGTCAACAGTCGCAAAGGTCAACTGTCGTGACTGTTGACCATCTGGACCGAACGACTCATCGAGGGAAGAATGGCAACAGATGTAACTGCTCAGACGGTTATACGCAGCGACTCCATAACACAAGAAGAGCAACAGTCGAGAGTTTATGTGGAATTGCCTATAAAACAGTTATAATAAGGGAATGTACCATTTAGAGTACAGCACTAGTTAGATGTAGTATTTATGGTGTGTATTTATCACATTTAATCAATCTTGTCATTTACGTTCACTATTCAAAAGGTTCCTACCACAATGATTCCCGCTACGAAATCTCCCTAAGATCCAAGATCCTCACTCTAACAGTTGAAACCTTTACAGTGTGTGGAGTGGAGGGATGAGGAAGAGGATAAAACCCTTAGGTAAAGCAAGATAAATAGGACGGGATAGAAAAGAATGGGGTGTGTGGGTAGTGTATGACGCAAAATCTGTTGTTGGTAAATGAAATATATATGGGTTTAACCTTGATAAAGCTGGTAGCCCCGTTATGCCTGTTCCCACCCACTTTCTCCACCTCCCCCACCATCAAAGTTATACCATAGTTAAGATTACGTGCGTAGGTATATGTGTGTGACTATAATAATAAGCCAACAAATACATGAATCATATGTTCTGAATATGATAATTAGAATGTTTAAACCCCACTTATATTCTTCTTTCAATATTGAAGTGATTGTTGCGAGCATTCACGAGTGAAGTGGGCTGGTAAACGCACAGTGCTTGGGACGAAATTACACGTGGCCCGAATCGACAAAGCATACAACGTTTATCTGATTGGCTGTGAGTCGTTGCCCAATCCATTTCCGCGAGACCCTGTCCAATCCGTTGGCAACTGAAATCCCAGTGCGACGTCCAGAAGCCGATCGGTTGGCTTCACGGATGCCCTTGCCTGACCCAGTAATGTAATCCCACAATCCCAACTCCTCAGTTTGCCAGACTTCGCTCCAGCAAGCTCATCCAACTCACCTTACGCCCTTCAGCCAAACCAGAGCTGACGCCATGGCCGCCGTGTCCACCTCCGCTCTTGTTGCCCCCAGCTCCATCAAGAGCTTCGATGGCCTCCGCGCCAGCGCCACCCCCAGCCGGGTGGTGAAGTTCGCTCCCCTGAAGGGCAAGGGTGCCCTTGGTGCCCGCTGCGACTACATTGGCTCCCCCACCAACCTGGTCCGTACCCGCTGTGACTACGTTAGATGTTTCTTTGCGATTCCTCGCTGTGCTGGTTTGGACTAGACATTACACCGTATTCATGCCGACTCAAATCCGTTGTCTACCTATCTTGTGTCCCTCTCTTTTTCCAGATCATGGTGAGCTCCATCGCTCTGTGCTTCGTCGCTGGCCGCTTCGGCCTTGCCCCCTCGGCGAACAGGAAGTCCAGCGCCTTCCTGAAGTTGAGCGAGAGGGAGACTGGCCTTGGCACCAACGACCCTGCCGGCTTCACCGGCACTGATGTGCTTGCTTTCGGTGTTGTCGGCCACGGCATTGGCGTTGGCGTCGTCCTTGGCCTCAAGTACCTCGGCGTGATCTAAGCGCTACCAATGCTGTACATTCCAAGAATAGATAATGAAACGTCCTTAATACAATTCTTAATTTAAGAATTTCTCAATAATACCTTTGCCCCAACGAAGCACGCTTCCCTCGTTTGCATCGTCTTGGAAATGAACTTCAAGAAGACATAATAGCGTCTTCAATGCTTTGAACTCTATCCAAGCCAGAACGAAATATGTCCCTCGATTGCTTCCTCCTCCAAGCAAACACAATAAAATAGTATTCCTCACATCCAACCCCATGTAAACATGCTCCCCTCTGTTGCATTGTCTGTGCCAATGATAACACGCTTATAGCTTGGAGTCACTAAAATCTGTGGACGCTTTAGGTCTTGCGCCCTCATACACCTCTGCTCTGCGGTGCTGCATGCATCAGGACACAATGATGTTAGAAATCCATACAATTTCTTCAATTGAGCACGCACCAAGGGCCATGGTACCTGATCAATTGGCATACGCTGTCTTGTGGACGCAATAAGGTCCATGTCAATGTCCACAGTTGCAATCCCTGTTGCAACTGAGTCTGCATGAAGGCACACCAACCAGATGAGCGCCTATTTTTTAGCATCTTCCTTGTAAAACCATCCAAAGGTAGCAATACTTACCACTGCAACGAGCTGCAACTTTACCCCACGGATCTACCACAAGGGCGTGACCATAACTGTCTCTGCGATCATTGTGTCGGCCTGCTTGAGCTGCTGCAATGACCTGCCAAATGGAAGATCAGCTTGTCAGCTAAGTGCTATATCAAGCAACTGCAATTGAGCACAATGGAGTACTCACATAGCATTGGCATTCTATAGCTCGAGCTCGCAAAAGGACTTCCCAGTGAGCCTCTCCAGTCTTTTGGGTGAATGCGGCAGGGATTAAAAGTACCTGCTTACATAAACAGACCATACCTTTCAATACAGCGCTCCTTACCACACAAGCCATCTGCTTGATGTTTTGGACTTACATCACAATGATGATCGAATCGGAGCCGCTGATACAACTCTGGAAAGCGTAAATCATAGCAAACGGTTAGACCAAGTCTGCCAACAGGAGACATAACAGAGACAACGCCTGACCCTGGTAATGTGCTGTTGCTCTCCGTCAGGACTGGTCCCCCTGGAACATTAACATCGAACCTGATTCAGCAGCATAAAGTTATGTTAAGAAGGTGCAGAAGAGGAAAACTGGGGAATCGGAACTGCCAGAAGATATTGAGGGCTCCATTACAGGTGAATTTTTCTGTACGCTGCTTGAATCTTCCCTGTGTCATCCACCAGCACATGAGCGTTGAAAAAACGCCTGCCTGCGTCAGGACCACCTGCCTCCTGAAATCCTCCTAAAGACAACCAGATAGAGAAATCTCTGCAAGCCACAGAAAGGAGGTGTGCAAGCGGCACAGGCTAAAGGTATCTGATTGTTTACTCGTCCACCACGGTGTGATTGATTCAATCCAATGTTGATGATGGCTTCAAAACGTGAAACGGTATTGTGGACGCACCGTGCCAGCTGGCAGTACTTCCTCATGATTGGACCATCGAGTGGCTCAGCGACTGCCGCAGCTTCTCCATCCCGTGCACCAATGAAGGAAAAACACTCAGGGAGGCAAATGAGAGCCGCACCAGCTGCGGCGGCTTGCTGGCGTGAGGAAAGCGGCAGAGCAAACATCGAGTAAGAGCAGACAGTAAGTGCAAGATTATGATAACGACGATGAGCACTCCTCACATCACGGTCCTCAGGCTTACTTCCACAAGCGATTTGCATGTAGCGAAGTTCTTCTCAACATCACCAACAGATGTCATTTGCGCCACAGCCACTCTTCTGCTGCCACCACGATCTTTGCTCTCAATGACCTTCCCTTCAGCATCCAACTTCTGCTGAAAATTACTCATTTGCTGCTGACTTCTACGGCCTCCGCCAACCCCCGAAAGCTTTGCTTGGTTGGCGTTGGATTCATGAAGCATACCCTCTGACCGGGAATCCAAAGATGAGTCGTCGACATTTGGAGCTGTGAAGCCCCGTGATGCCATGCAGGCGAATTGATTGAACGACTCAGTTGTGGGCAACCTAGGTGCCACAGGAACTCCCAGCGCTACGTGACGCAATCCAGCCTTCAAAGTGGGCGATCTAACAAAAAAAGACTTCGCTTGAAATAGCTGGCCTCTATAGAACAACATGGGGAGCCCTTATGCCCTTACACGCCCCAGAGACCATAGAGGGAACTTCATGCCTCAAAAAAAAATCATTCGGAACTAGCTGAGGTGGTGCTACTAGGTGTGGTTCTCTCGTGATCGCCACTCATGGAAATTACGAAATACACATGAAATACATGGTGTTCAAGCATGCTGCATACATACATCACTATGGAGGATGTTCCTAAAACGACCGTGACTCCAGACGAATCTGCTAGCCCCGCCCAGTCGGAGAGCCAGCTCCGCCATGCCTTGACGTCACCTCACACAAGAAAAGCTTCTTCCTGACGTGGCGAAGCTCGTTCACACGCATCAGACCAGTCTGCTTGGTCCGACAAGCCAAAGCGGAGAACTCGGCTCGGAAGGGCGAGGTTGAGGCCAAATTCTCGTCACCGCTTCAGCTTCGCAAAACTCATGCCACAACCATACCAGGGAGGTTATTTGATTGGGTGTTGGTTTCCAGGGCTTGAGGATTTTAACTTCTTGGATTGGTCTAGATGTTTGCTGAAGCAGGGAACCCAGCTTTAACATGAGGTATGGTCTCAACGAGGCTGAGAGAATTTCGCTAACCTCAACCAATGAGATCTCTGAACACTGGTATCTTTGCCTCGACGGGCAGCCCAGCAGAAGCAAAGTGCACCAAGGCGGGCCACGTGCTCTCCGAGGCTGATGAAGGCAGGGCAAACCCCGGTTTTTGCCCATAGCCAGCTGTTCGAGCCATTGCGGTGTTTGCTCTGGGTTCAGGAAGAGGTGAGTCAATGAATCCTCTTGAGACGATGGTTTGCTGCACAGAAACGAAGGCGGTTGCTGCCATTCTCCATCATCTATAGGACGACACATGGCTCTTGCTCATGAAGCCCTGGTTTGCTCTTTCAGCAAGTGCTGGAGTGTTGCGGGTGGGCTTCTTAATCCAGTTCAATGGTCAGACTGATCTATGGACCAGGCACATCCGCTAACCAGGGTGTTCAGAGCTGGCTAGGTTCCATGTTTCCAAGTGTAGACTTTGTTATTTTGATAGACACTGACCGTTATAGGGACGTTGGCGAACATCAGTGTGATAGTAATGCTTTGACTTCTTTTCGTCTTCCAGGCTCCGTCATTTGCGTTAACCACGCTTCGCGTGCATTTGTTCTAGAAATACGTCAAGATAACTAAAAATGGTGAGGCATGCTGCTCCCAGGGGCCTGGGAAAGCATTGTCACTGTTGCCGGCAAAAGAGACCAACGGCTGAGCTAATTCCATGTGGAGCGTCTCAAGGTGAAGGTGGAGGTAAACATGGCCCGTGGTGCCATAGGTGCATCCTCGCAAAGCTCCACAAAAACTTGTCGTTTATAGCAGCAGCTACTGTGGCAGCCAAAAGGGGGACTTGGCGATGTCCAAGGTAAATTTAGCATATTCAGAAGAACCCGCCTTGCCTCGTCAATTTGGGACCTCGGAATCCACCATGTTTGGCTAGCTTGCTGCTCCCCGGCCTATTTCCAGTTTCATTCCGTAATGCTTCGTTCCTGGATTCTTTGTGCCCAGGTGTGACGATGTGTGTCCTTGCAACAAATGTGTTCAGAGAAGAAGCAAGGACGGAAGGCAGAGACGAGGAAAAAATCAGCCCAGGTTCTCATTTGCCTTGCCGTCCACATGCTGTTCCCGTGCATGGTCAGACTTGCGGTAGGTGATGTAACCGAGAATTTCTTGCCGCATCCTGCAGGGAGGGAACCAGTGGATTCGAGTTTGGTAAAGGAATTGAAGACCTTCACATTAGTGGCTCCTCGCTTGCTGATGACGACTGTACTCCTGGGGCGTCGCACACCGCAAAGGCTACATCAAGTAGGTGATTGTGACGTTTGAACTGGCTTATTTCGAAAGTCACGCCCTCGCTGACTCGTTTCCGCTGGCAGGCATCCCTCAAGACGATGAAGCATATGAAGGCGCTCTCGGCTTGTGTGCTATCCTAAAGAAGGTCGTGCTTTTGGTGCTATTTTCGAGGCACTTTTTGACTTGGCAATCATACTAACCTACTACATCATTTTCACTTTCAGGAAGAGGAGGAGGAAGATTCGCATTCCAATTCGCCATCGAAATCAAGTGATGCACTAACGCCTCCGCAGCAGCAAAACTCTGGGACCTCTCAAGATCCAAGACTCTCTGCATCAGATGATCAACCAGCCGTTAATAGTTCTGAAGGGAAAGAGGAACACTTATCTCCCACTGAGCTGCCATGGACCCCTAGGAAGAGCAGGTCGGCTTGCAAGCGCGATTCTACAACAGCAAGAACCGAGGAAGTTCTTCAGGAGTGCCATTCACAAGCCCTTTCTCGAAGAGGAAAAATGAAGGTACGGTTTGACTGCATGATTTGTCTGTCATTTTTATTTTCTTACAGCATCTCAGATCCGTTTTTCTTCTCCTGCAGGATGTGCATACTGTGCCACATCAAGCTGAAGAGAACTTGGAACTTCCATCAAGGCGCAAGTTGCCTAGATACTCTGTTGATGAGGAGCAGCAACCAACGTTCCTGCATGACAGCCATTTGCCATTTCCTGGGATTCGTGGATCCAGGAGCTTTACATACCAGATGCACGACAACACATTGGGTTGTCGTTCAAACATTGGGCACAAGGATGGTCAACTCAAGCCAGGGCTGAGGCTTTCCGGGTCTGCAGATGCGTTTCAATATGTCATGGGGGGAGATGTGAGCACTTCACCTGCGACGGAGCGCATATTTTCTGCTGGGAGACTGCAAGATTCGATCTCCCCTCGCTCGGCGTCTCTTCCACACACTCCAGTTCGACGGAAACTTTCTCGCAAAGGCATTCCGTCAAGGGGTGATTCGGGCATTGATTTCAGCCCGCTAATCGAGCCATCTTCTCCATGCAAGGCAGTCAGCCCATGTGTTCTTCCACGAACAGCAGCTGAGCCTCCTGTAAATAATCAACACAGAATGAGTGTAACAGCTGCTGGTTTGGAATCAGATGAGCACTGTGCAAGCGAAGTCTCTATTGAGAAGCTGGAGACCCTTCGACCTGGCAGCAGCAAGGAGGATGACGCGACTTCGCCCTTTGCAAAAGATGTACAGAAGAGACTTTCCGAAGACTGCAACGCATTAACAAGTCCCGGGACACCGCGCGAGGTGAAAGCAGAGCCGTACGGTGTATCTGCTGGTCCCTCAACCAGCAGACTCGCTACTCTGGGTACTCATGACAGGATGCGTTCAGACAAGAAAGTTGCAGCTGCTGTTGCGGCAGCACTGAGGCTGTGCGTACCTGAGATTGCTGGGTCAGGGACCTCTTTCAAGACATCCAGTTCTTCTAGTGACTGTTCTGAAGGGCGCTGCGATGCGAATCTTAGCACAGAGGAGTCTCCACCAGGGAAGGAGAACAATACAACCTCCGACCTTGCACTTCGTTGTGATATGAAGCTTCCGCGTGGAACAGAGGCAAGGAAACAGGAGATTTCCAGTGCTTCCCCTTACAACCTTATCCAGGAGGGGCTCACTAATGATCCCTGGAAGCTCTTGGTTGCATCGATGCTTCTGGAAGATCATCCCTCTCACATGGTATGTTCTCAATTTGCATACCCGGTTTGGTCAATGTCATGGCATGGCAACCAACACACACCATGGTATATTATGGCAGGTGCGGCTTGGAGTGAGGAGGCTGTTTCAAGATCTTCCCTCAGCAGATGACGTCTTATCTTCTGACATGCAAACACTGGAACAATTCGTTTGCAGTGCAGGATTCCATGAAAGATGGGCTAAGAACTTGTTTATCTTCACCCGAGAATTCTCATCAGGAAACTGGGCTCAGATAACTGACCTCCCAGGAGTTGGCAGGTATGTGGTTGCCTTTCGTGTTTTGATTTGACCGTTTTTGTCAGGGTGACTGACACTGCCCTACTCATCAGGTACGTTGCAGATGCATATGCGATCTTCATTGAGGGTCGACTTCAGTCAGCACATCCAACAGACAGCCTCCTCTTGAAGTATCAGAGGTGGGCACTATGCCATAAATAGTGTATATTAAAACCTCTTCGTTTGCTGTAATTAGCCCAGCGAATCTTGGTAGCACTGTGTCTGTGAATATTGTAAAGTTTGTACATATATCATTATTATATGCCCTACCCTTTGAAATCAATTTTGATCCTCAAGTACGCATAGACGCAGGGGCCGTGCTATGAAATGTGGCTGACAAGAAAAACTTTCACGGGGAGAAAAATGCGACATCGAAAGAGAGAAATATTGCGATGTTGTTCCACTATACGTAAGAATAAACACAGGGAAACCCGTACTCAGTTTAAATACATCTAGTCGGAGTAGATGCGGCACTCGTCGGCATCAGGGTTCTCGTCGCAGTACTGCTCAAGGGGGTCGGAAGACTTCTGGGCCTCCTTGTGCGAAATAGCGGCAGAGATTTCCTCAACCTCGTCCCAAGCCACAGCACACTCCGCAGATCCCGCGTTGGGGTCTGCGCAGACGTTCTTGGCTTCCTGAATCTTCTCCTCAACGACCTTGTCCAGTTCGGGTTGCGAGCTGGCGAACACCTTCAACGAGCGGGCAGGAGAAGCGCGCACAGTCACGGCGCTCTTCACGGACTGGGAGAAGGCAGTTGACCGCCTAAAACCGCAAGGGGCGGTGGGGGCAACAACAAAGGCGAGGGAAGCCATGGTTGGGTGGAGTACTAGTCGAAGTTAGGACAAGGAAGAAAGGTCTGACGCTGTGAGTGAAAGACCGCACAAACCGATGATGAAGTGTGATGAGGTCAAATGACGGGAGTTGGTGCACGCTGGGGGTATTGGCGAAGGAGTGGTGGAAGAGTCGGCGATGGATGACGGGCCAGAATGGCGGGATAGTGAACGAGGATCTGGGGACGTGGAGAGGTTCAGGGCAGATGGGCTATGACGTGGAATACATTTGCCACATAGACCACCCAGGCAGGAAAGCTGACATGGCGAGCCCACCACCTGACATATAATATCAGAGTTGAGCTCCTCCTACCATCCGAATGATATTACCCTAGGCAGTTTGGTGTCAGGTTTGCACCCAATAACACTCGGGCACGCTTTCGTCTACACCCTACAACGTGGAGCCTTGATCCAAGATCATCCTCATCGGAAAATGTTGAGTGTGGGCCAACATTGTGTCGTAATAAAATTCCTGCTCAAATTCCTGCTCAAGATTCAGAAAAATGGAATACGTATTAGACAACAGTGTAACCAATTACAATGTGCCCTCGCTGTATTTCGAAGTTTTTTTTTCCCGACACTGCATGTGGTGCGACTGCTGGTAAGGGGTCAGTTTGCAGAGGGTTTGTTTTCCTCGTCACAATGACGCCAACAGCAGCAATTCCTTCTCAATCGCCCCCCATCCGAATCCTGCATTCCTCGTCTCACATCATCCACACCACAGCTTCACTGACCTTCTCCAGTCAATCGAATTCATCCTCGCGAGTTTGTAACTCGTTGAGCCTGCGTTCACCCTTGCTGCTTCGGTCTGTCTCGTGTTCGCAATCTCATGTTTCAGGGCGTGCATGCGTGCTTCATAGAGGGTGGAGTGCACAAGGCGCGGATCCAGGTGACAATGCTGTTGAACGCTCGGAGCGTTGGCATTTTCCGACTTTCAACTATCTGTTTATAAACCTAATACGCTTAATCCTGTAACAAACAAGAGAGCCTGGCTGGGAGATGAAACGGAAGGCGCAGAGTTCCTTGTCTAAGAATCGGAATTAGACTATCAATTCAGTTGGTTAGCGTTTGCACGGAGCCAATCCGTGTTTGATAGCTAACTTTGCATGATTGTCCTCATAGCATGAGAACTTTAGCAACAACAATTATAAGAGAAACTCCTCCCCCTCTTTTCCCCTTCCCCCCCGCTCCCTCTCCATCCTGCACCCGTCATTTCCCTCTCCCCCCTCTCCTCCCCTGCCGCGGGATCCCTCCGCAAGGTGTGGAAGCGGAAGCTTGTGCAGTTAAGGGGGGGAGTCGCAGCAAGCCCCACGGAGCCACGTGTCACGCACGTGCTGGCTGTTGATTGGCGGAAAGTGCAGCAAGCCACCACGTGGCAATCCCCACCACCAGGGGTGAGTTAGTGGACTTTTATCCAGCGTTTCGGGTTTAGTTCTAGCTAATCCCAAGGTGCTCCTTTGGGAATGAGTGGAATGCGAGTGACTCTACACCAAGGTGTAGCACTGGGGTTGAGTGGAGGTTGAGTTGAATGGCCTGTCGTCTTTAGAACTCTGGCTCATTGTGAGTGGAGGACTCCGTCTTGTTCATTGTCCTCCTAATCGAAGTGTAGTTTTGATTGAGACGTCTCGAAACTACACTTCTATCGCTTGGCCCCTCTGGCTCATTGCCCTTTGAACAAACAAATTGCTGACTCACCCTGTTTTTGCCGTTCGTTTCTCTTGTGTGCGCTGCTCCCTCAGCCTGAAACCGCCAGGTGGCAGTGGTGGAGTTTCTGGGGATAGAGATTTGTCTCAAGCATGAAATTTGCCATTCTTTTCTGAGCGAGCCTAGTGTTCTGATTCCTCTTTTGGTTTTCTGTGTGTGTGTTGCTCCCACAACACGCCACCGTCAGGTGACAGTGGTGGAGTTTGCATGGATAGAGAGCTGTCTCAAGCACGGGTCCCGCCTTCCTGAAGCTAAGTTCTTGCTCCGCTCCTCGCACAGTGCCTCACACAACACCTCACATGGCCCACAGTCATACCAAGGCGAAGCTGCATGCGTTGGGGGTGTTAGCCCTTTTGATGCTGATTTTCCTGCTGGCAGGGAGAGCAGGGATTTTTCTGAGCGAATCAGGAGTGGCCACGTGGACGCTGATGGTGAAAGCGCGGAGAGAGATGAGGGAGGTAGGAGGAGTGGTGGGGGTTGGAAGGAATGGAAGGACGGGGAAAGGAATGGGGGAGGTTTGGGGTCGACCTTGGCTCGGCAGTTGCCTGAGGGGAGGATAGGAGGGAAGGAGGAGGAGGGGAGTGATGAGGAAGAGGAGGGAAACGGGGCGGCGGGTCCTGCTGCCGTCAAAGGTGGGCGGCAGGGTTTGGAGCTTTCTGAGGAGGAGAAGGCGTTTTGGATGGAGGTGATATTTGAGAGTGCAGCATGGGCGGCAGTTGCGGGGGAGGAGGAGGGGGACGGGCGCGAGGGGGGGAGTGGGGGAGGGTATGGGGGGAAGCGGGGATGGGGGGGAGGAGGCAGAGGGGGTGGGAGATGGGGAGGGGGAGGGGGGAAGCGGAGGTATGTGAGTGGTACAGACAGGTTTGGGGCGGAATGGAAACGGTGGATTGAGGGGGGAAAGGGGGAGAAGGGGGGAACAGGGGGCAAAGGCGGAAGGGGAGATGAGGAGACTGATGGGGTGGGGGGCATGGGCTTGTCTGGGCGTGTGATACGGCTGGTAAGGGAGGGCGAGGAGGTTCTGGGACACACGCAGGGGCTGTGCGTGGCTGGAGGGGAGAGGGAGGATGCGAGGGAGAGGGAGGATGCGAGGGAGAGGGAGGATGCGAGGGAGAGGGAGGTTGCGAGGGAGAGGGAGGATGGGGGGAAGACGGAGAAAGAGGAGGAAAGAGTGCATGGGGAAGTGGGGAGCGGGAGGGAAGGTGAGTCAGGTGAATGTGCCCAAGGTGACAGGCATGAGCGTGCATGTGGGGACTTGCAGGGCTTCCCGTGCAGCTATGACAGTGCCGGCTCACAGGGGCAACGAGATGGGTCGCTTTCTGCCTTCACTGAGCCGTTCGGGGACTCGCAAAAAGACTCACAACAGGACTCGTATCTGGCCTCATTCCATGACTCGCATCAAGATTCTCAAATCCAAGGGGCGGCTTCAGTGCAAGTACCAGACTCTGAATCAGCTCAAGGGGCATCGGGGTGGGAGCGATTGCGAGGGCGTGGGTGTTTCTGCCGGGGGCTGTACCTGCCGCCTGACCTGAATCGAGAGATTTGCCGCCAGATGAACGAGCTGAAGAACATCTACAAGGGCGGTACGGTGCGGTGCCGTGTGGTGGAAATAGGTGTGATGTGCTGTGGGATGGGTATGGTGGGGTGTGTTTCTGCCGGGGGCTGTACCTGACGCCTGACCTGAATAGAGAGATTTGCCGCCAGATGAACGAGCTGAAAGACATCTACAAGAAAGGTATGGAGCAGTGCAGTGCGGTGCAAAGGGGAGTGGTGTGTGGTGGGAGTGGTATGGCAGGCTATGCTTCTGCTGGGGGATGTATCTACAAGGGGCGGTGGTTCTCCAAGGCGCTCAGCATGCTCGCAATTCTGTTTTGTTTCTACTCACTTCCTCCTTATTCCCCCTTTTCCGTGCTCGAGATGCTTCCCTTCAATCAGATCCCGTAACAATCTCCCCTTTCCCCCCCCCCTCTCCTGCTTCTTCTACCCCAGGCCTGGGCGATGAGTGGCGGTGGTTCAGCTACTACAAGGCCCACAGCGTGCGATGTTACCGCTTTTGCCTCATCCCCCTTCTTGCCCTGCTTTCCCCATGCCCCTGTCGTCCTATAAGGCCTGGGCGACGAGTGGCGGTGGTTCAGCTACTACAAGGCCCACAGCGTGCGATGTTACCGCTTTTGCCTCATCCCCCTTCTTGCCCTGCTTTCCCCATGCCCCTGTCGTCCTATAAGGCCTGGGCGACGAGTGGCGGTGGTTCAGCTACTACAAGGCCCACAGCGTGCGATGTTCCCGCTTTTGCCTCATCCCCCCTCTTGCCCTGCTTTCCCCATGCCCCTGTCGTCCTATAAGGCCTGGGCGACGAGTGGCGGTGGTTCAGCTACTACAAGGCCCTCAGCGTGCTCGAGAAGCTGCCCTTCCGCATCTGCTCAGCCCAGCAGGTGCAGGGGCTGCCCAGCATAGGGCCGTCACTGCAGGGCAAGGTAAGGGGCGAGGGAGAGGGAGATGTTTTGGTGGTTGCCTCAAATGTCCTCGCAGCTCTGCGCAGCAGGTGCAGGGGCTGCCCAGCATAGGGCCGTCACTGCAGGGCAAGGTGGGAGGCGGGGCAAAAGAGAAAAAAGTTTAGGTCATCAATTATCGTTCTTCTATGATGATGCGAGGGGAAGGAGATGGTTATGTCGGGAGTGACGTTCTCTGCTTGTTTGGCAACTTTCACCTTGGATGGGCTTCAATGTCGCATGTCAATGTGTATATGTGTGCATGTGCGCATGTGTGCATGTGTGCATGTGTGTGTGCATGTGTGCATGTGTGCATGTGTGCATGTGTGCATGTGTGCATGTGTGCATGTGTGCATGTGTGCATGTGTGCATGTGTGCATGTGTGCATGTGTGCATGTGTGCATGTGTGCATGTGTGCATGTGTGCATGTGTGCATGTGTGCATGTGTGCATGTGTGCATGTGCTCATGGTATGACCCACATGACAGATTCAGGAGATTCTGTCATACGGCATGATTAAGAAGCTACGGGCATATCAAGCCGACGAAATGGTGAGGTGAATGCATGAAACAAAATAATCGGGAGACAATTGGGGGAGGAGTGAGTGAGACGAGCAGGATCCTGGCTCCCTGCCTGCCTGCCCCCACTGCTGCCATTGTTGAGGCGCCTCGAAAATCGCCTCAAAAGGCGCCTCAAAATGAGGCACCTCCAAAATTGGGAGAGGAGGGGGGAAGTAAGTGAGTGAGACATGCCGGATCCTTGCTCCCTACCTACAGCCCTCGCACCGCCCGCTGCTTCTACTCTGCCGGCCACCGCTCCCTGCGCCAGCTCCGATCCTGCTGCCTTACTTTCCTCTCCTGCTATTTGCTCCTTGCCTCCAACCGTTTTAGGTCCGCACACTCGCTCTCTTCGGCACTGTCTGGGGTGTGGGCCCCCGCACCGCCCGCCGATTCTACTCCGCCGGCCACCGCTCGCTGCGCCAGCTGGCAGGCGACCCGGGGCTCACGCCAACTCAGCGAATCGCGCTGCGGTTCCACGAGGATATGAACAAGCGAATCCCGAGGGACGAGGTGGCTGCGATGGCAGCTCTGGTGGTGAAAGAAGGCGAGGCGCTGCTTCCAGGGGTGGGTGCAGCCTGGGGTGGGTGCTGCCTGGGGTGGGTGCTGCCTGGGGTGGGTGCTGCCTGGGGTGGGTGCAGCCAGGGGTGGGTGCTGCCTGGGGTGGGTGCTGCCTGAGGTGGGTGCTGCCTGGGGTGGGTGCTGCCTGGGGTGGGTGCTGCCTGGGGTGGGTGCAGCCAGGGGTGGGTGCTGCCTGCGATGGGTTCTGCTTGTGGCAAGTTTTGTTTGTGCATGCCGCTCATACCCCTCACGTGCATGTGTGCATGCCGCTCATACCCCTCACGTGCATGTGTGCAGATCTCCATCATCTGTGGCGGGTCGTACCGACGGGGCAAGGCGACGTCAGGCGACATGGACTTCATTATCACACACCCCGATGGTGCCAGGTGTGTGAGTGTGGGTAGGAAAATATTTGTGTGTGCTCGTAGTGGTGTGTGTGTCTGTGTGTATGGGTACGAATGTGTGTGTGTGTGTGTGTGTGTGTGTGCTTAGGGGTGTGTGTCTCTGCGTACGGGTAGGAGTGTGTCCCCCTCAAAATGCTTTTATTCCTTCCCACAAGCTCCATATCCTCCCCTCACATCTCCCTCTCACCGCAGCCATCGGGGCTTTCTGGACAGGCTGGTATCTCAGCTGAAGCACGTTGGGTTCCTAACAGAGGACCTGATGGTCGGCACTCACCACTCGCAGCAGGTGATGCGCTCTGTCTTGCATGTGGGGCTGTGAGGGTGCGAGGGTTACGTGAGTCTGGACGGGCTGGTGTGTCGCTTGAAGCAAGTGGGCTTCCTAACAGAGGACCTGATGGTCGGCACTCACCACTCGCAGCAGGTGATGCGCTCTGTCTTGCATGTGGGGCTGTGAGGGTGCGAGGGTTACATGAGTCTGGACGGGCTGGTGTGTCGCTTGAAGCAAGTGGGCTTCCTAACAGAGGACCTGATGGTCGGCACTCACCACTCGCAGCAGGTGATGCGCTCTGTCTTGCATGTGGGGCTGTGAGGGTGCGAGGGTTACGTGAGTCTGGACGGGCTGGTGTGTCGCTTGAAGCAAGTGGGCTTCCTAACAGAGGACCTGATGGTCGGCACTCACCACTCGCAGCAGGTGATGCGCTCTGTCTTGCATGTGGGGCTGTGAGGGTGCGAGGGTTACATGAGTCTGGACGGGCTGGTGTGTCGCTTGAAGCAAGTGGGCTTCCTAACAGAGGACCTGATGGTCGGCACTCACCACTCGCAGCAGGTGACATACGACATTCTCTCTGTGCTAAGGTCTGCAGGGTTGAGGGCCTACGGTGCTTGCAAGGATGTGGCTATAGGCAGGCACGTGTGTCGACTGAAGCATGTGTTATTTTTCCACCTTTACGACCCTCCCTCCTCCACCCAACAGCCGCATGGTGAGGGCAAGGGCGTTGACACCTACTTTGGGCTGTGCAAGCAAGCGGGCAGGGAGCAACGGCACCGCATCGACTTTAAGGTACTGCTGCTGGCGTCACTGGCGTCACTGGCGTCACTGGCGTCACTGGCGTCACTGGCGTCACTGCTGTGTAATACGCTTGAGGCGCCTAAGTCGCCTTTGATGCGACCCAACAATGCAGGCAGGCAGGCAGGCAGGGGGCAGAGGCACCGCATCGACTTTAAGGTACTGCTGCTGGCGTCACTGGCGTCACTGCTGTGTAATACGCTTGAGGCGCTTAAGTCGCCTTTGATGCGACCCAACAATGCAGGCAGGCAGGCAGGGAGCAGAGGCACTGCATCGACTTTCAGGTACTGCTGCTGGTGCGGTTGCTGCCTGCCCGCCTGCCTCCATTTTGAACGGTATGAGAATTTAACCACTATGGGGTGTGCAAGCAGGCGGGCAGGGAGCAACGGCACCGCATCGACTTCAAGGTAAAGTAATTCCCATATCGCATTGCCCACTGACTTTTGAGACGTCTCAAAAGTAATTCCCGTATCGCATTGCCCACTGACTGCTGGTTTGCTGAGGGGATAGGAATATATTTGGCCTTGTACCATGTGGATTGTGGTGTACCCATGGGGTGCTTATGTTATATGTTATATGCTTTTCGTTTTTATTAACTTGCAGGTGTACCCATGGGAGCAGTACCCTTTTGGACTCATACAGTGGACGGGCAACGATGTGCTCAATCGACGGTGAGGTTAGTGGGAAGGATGGTGGGGGCCGCGGAATGGACGGCTAAAATGGTGAGACGGCAGAAATAGCCAGCAAGGAGGGTGGGGAGATCGGAATGGATGGCCAGGATTGCAAGTTGTTTGTTTGCCATGGGTGGGAATGGCTGCGCGATACCCATGCTCCAGGCTTGGCGGTTACTAGGTTGAATCGGATCAATTGTTACAGAACAAAACAAAATACAAATGCGTCATAAGAGTAAGAGCATCCAGAGGACGTGGCTCAACACATTCTGACATCCAATCCAAGCCCTTGTCTCTCGACCATGGTTCAAACACACTCAACAAATTACCCGTGCCCCCCTTGTCCCCCACCCACCCAGCATGCGGCTGTTTGCAGAGGCCAAGGGGTACAGACTGGACGACCATGGGCTCGTTCTGCGAGATGCTGTGAGATGAGCCGATTTCTGGGGCACGTGAAGAATGCAATATGCTGTGTTACAGGCTTCTCATTCCATGCCTCCCGTCCCATCACATGCTGTGTGCATCACTGCAACTTCACAGTCTTGAGAACTCACATCCTTAAAGCTCGCGTCTCATATTTCTGCCATCCAACCAAGTGTTAAACGGTTGGAATCCGGTAACAGCAAAGTTTGTCGCAAAGCCCACCAAAGCAAGGGGTGGTTTGGGAAAGTTGGCTGTCGCACGCTTCCCCGTGCACACCAAGCGTTTACAACTCCCGAAAATATGAGACACTGAACTCAACGTTGACAGAACCTGGGACCAAACCTGTCCCCCTTGGCTCGTTTTCCACCCAAACTAACCCACCCTGGTTTGTTTTGGCCTCGACTGTTTGGGAGTTCGCTGTTCTTTTTTCTCCCACTCGTCAAATATTTCGTCTTACGTTACCCAATCACAGACGGGCAAACCCAACCAAGTGTTAAATGGTTGGAAATCTGAGGCGCGAGCTTTAACAGAATTGCACACATGCTGTTTGTACCCCATCACTCCCATCGTAACAGTTTCCATGTCATTCCCAATTGATACAGTATGAGTCAGCTCAATCCGCCAGGATTCCCACTGACATGCTGTGCCTACCCCTCACTCCGCAACAGGTACCAGGCACAGCAGCAGGCAAGTCAGTTTCATGCGGGAGTGAGAGAGCAGTGTTTGAATTCCTGGGACTGCCGTGGCTGGAGCCTCACGAGCGCAACCTGTGACAGCGCAGGTTGAAAAAGAATTCCTTGTATTGCTGCTGCTGCTGTTGCTGATGCTGCCTCTGCTGCAGTGCCCTGTTAAATTCCTGGGATTGCCATGGCTGGAGCCTCACGAGCGCAACCTCTGACAGCACAGCAGCATCCTAGAATGTTCTTAGTCGACTCAAAACACGAGCGCAACCTCTGACAAACAGCAGCAAATAGAGGATGTTGCAGAGCTTCTGACAGGATTCTCTCATGCATGCTGCTGCTGCAGCTGGAAGGGTTTTTGACTTCTTGGGACTGCCGTGGCTGGAGCCTCATCATGTGAGCAAGCTTTGACAGCAGAGGTTGAGAAAAGCTCCAAAAAAATCCCTTATGTGTGCTGCGGCTGCTGATAGGAATCCCAAATGTGCTTCTCCTGCTGCTGCTGCTGCTGCTGCGGCTGCTACCGCCGCTGACAGATTATGCTGTGCTGCTTGTGGATAGTGGTGCATTATCCTGTGGAAGTGCAGCACCTACGGTAGGTACCATTTTAGCAGCAATGTCACAGCAAACAGAAGCAGGCTTTTTGCAAAGCTGGATGATTGAGTAGGTGCTGGTATTTCTCCAGCTATGGCAGGTTTCACGCGCGCTTCCTTCATGGCAAGAAGCAGAGTATCTGAAACTTGGCATTTTCGATTTGAACTGTGCAAAATTATGCAGGGGCACCTGCAAGAGCTGAAAGCCACACACTCTGACCCAGCCAGGAAACCAATAATACGGTAGTAGTGAGCTGAAGCAGGCCAGTGGAGTAAACCATACTTGCTTACTAACCAAACCATACATCCAATGGACAATGGACATTAGCACACCAACCAACAAAACCAAAATTCCTGCCTAGCATTCCCTGCAGCATCCCACTGTGTCCCTGTGCGCCTGTTGCAGGAGCTTAGGCAGTCCCCTGACAGTTCGGGCAGCTCAGGCAGATCAGGCACTTCAATTCAAACCCGTTCAGGCGTATCAGACAGCAGGCAGTTGAGGTGGTTTCGGCAGTGTGAGCGGGTTTCATTCATATCAGCCGAGCGGTTTAAGCAGGGACCTTGGAGGTGATTTTCTCCTTGGACTTCTGCAGCTCGAGCACCTTCTCCACGATCTGTCTTGAAATGTCTCAAAACACGCTTGAGCACCTTCTTCACAATCTTCTGCTCCTCCACCAGGAATGGGAATGCACGGATGATTCTGTGGAAGGAGAGCAGTGAACAGCAGAGCCGAAAAAAAAGGGGGAGGGAGAAATGTGACATTTGAGAATTCTCGAAAATCACTCACAAGGGAGAAATGTGACATTTGAGTAGAGCCGTGGTAAGTCATTTGTGCTCCTCATCACAAAAAAATCGGATTGTTTTGCGACAGCGTTTATGGCGAGAGGAGAACAAACGGGAGAAGGGAAGTGCGGGAAACGGCGGAGTAGGGCATTGGAAGGGGGGTAATGGGGGACGGGGAACAGGGAAGGGGGGAATTGGAGAGGGGGAAGGAGGAATGTAAGGACAGAAAGAGGGCTAAGGGGCAGAGGGACGTTGACGGGGAAAGGGTGATGAGACAACGAGGCAAACAAGTGCTATAGCAGTCAACCCCGTGCATCAGCTTCTGTGTACAACCATCTCTTGGTTCCTCCCCCTCTTCCTCCTCCCTTCCCCCTGCTTCCTCCCCCCTTCCCCCTGCTTCCTTCCCCCTTCCCCCTGCTTCCTCCCCCCTTCATTCTACCTTGCTTCCGCCTTCCTTCCAATACCCCCCTTTCTGATCCCTTCCTTTCCCTTTTTTCCCCTCCTGGATCGTTATCCATTCCGCCTTCCGCTCGCAATTTGGTGCCGTTTCTCTCGCGGGACCAACCCCGTACTCCACACCTATCCTCTTCTGTCCTACCCCGTGCAGAAATCGAGGTGACTTTTGAGTCGACTCAAAAGTCTTCCGTCTTACCCCGTGCAGAAATCCCTCTGCCTGCTACACCCAACCCCTTTCCCCGCACTCTCCCTCCACCCTTTTCCCCCCCCGTTTCCCCCCTCCCCCCTTTTCCTAGCTCCCCACTCCCCCGTTTCTCTCCCCCGTTTCCCCCTCCCCCCTTTTCCTAGCTCCCCACTTCCCCTTTTCTCTCCCTCTTCCCCACCTTAAGCAGTCGTCGGGTCACATGCTGCAACGACAAGCGAGCCGCTAGAGGAGCGACGAGGAGCGTGGTGGAAGAATGGAGTGGGAGAAGGGGAGGCGGGGGGTTGGGGAGGGAGGGAGGAGAGGAGAGAAGGGGAGAATTGCTGAATGATGTGAGGTTAATGGATAACGTTGTACATTGATAACGTTGAACGATTAACATTGATGGTTGACATTGTTAGGGGCAGGAAGGGCAAGGGGACAGGTAAGATGAGGGTCATGTGGGAGGGGTTGAGGGGTGTGTGGCGTGGGCAGGGCAAGGAAAGGTTGGGGGGAGGGAGGAGATGAGGGTTGAGAGACGGAGGTGCGTGGGGGGAGATGAGGGGAGAGCAGATGGGGAATGACAGATGGATCCAGGGGGAGGGAGTGAGGGAGGGAGAGGGGGAGGGAGAGGGGAGGGAGAGGGGAGGAGAGGGGAGGGAGAGGGGAGGGAGAGGGGAGGGAGAGGGGGAGGGAGAGGGGAGGGAGAGGGGAGGGAGAGGGGAGGGAGAGGGGAGGGAGAGGGGGAGGGAGAGGGGAGGGAGAGGGGAGGGAGAGGGGAGGGAGAGGGGAGGGAGAGGGGAGGGAGAGGGGAGGGAGAGGGGAGGGAGAGGGGAGGGAGAGGGGAGGGAGAGGGGGAGGGAGAGGGGAGGGAGAGGGGAGGGAGAGGGGAGGGAGAGGGGAGGGAGAGGGGAGGGAGAGGGGAGGGAGAGGGGAGGGAGAGGGGAGGGAGAGGGGGGAGAGGGGAGGAGAGGGGAGGGAGAGGGGAGGGAGAGGAGGGAGGGGGAGGGAGAGGGGAGGGAGAGGGGAGGGAGAGGGGAGGGGGGATAAGGATGCATGAGATGAATGGGTGGGAGAAATGAGGGGTGAGTGAGGGGAACGATGAGGGAAGGACTGGGGGAATTGGGGGAACGCAGGGTGGATGGGGAGAGGGATGAGGTGCGAGTGAGGGTGGAGGAGAGGCAAGGGGGGAGGGGAGGGGATGTGGGGTGAGCGAGAATTGGGGGGGGTGGGAGGAAGGGGGGAAGAGCGGAGGGGGGATGAGGGGTGAGTGCGGTGGGAGATAGGCGCAGGGAAATTAGAGGAGAGGGGGATAGGGGGGAGATGAGGGGAGAGCGGGGAGGAGGATGAGCGAAGAACGGAGCGGGGGACGAGCGAGAAGAGGAAGAAGGAAGTGGGGAGGGGGGAGGGCGGGGAAACGCAGGGGGAGGAGAGGGTGGGGAGAAAGCGAGGGGAGGGGAAGTGGGGAAACGGGGAAAGGGGTCGGTCTGCCACGTCGCCTCTCACCAGTCTTCGGTCACGTGACGAGAGGCGCAACGGGGGGAGGTGAAAAACGGGGGAAGGGCTTCCGGGAGGTGCCTCAGCGTTACCATCCGACAGGAGGCGACGATTCCCCAGCGTCGCCTCTCGCCACGCGAACAGGGGCCTCCCGCCAGGTTCTTATCATCTCATTCCCCCTCCACTCTTCATCCCCAAACCAACCTGTGCAAACGCGATCCTAAGGCTTCCATTTTTGAGGCGCCTCAAAGTTTAACCCGCCATCTTGAGGCTTCCTCCGCCTGCCTAACGGACCGAGGGGACGCACTGAGGCGACGCACTGGGGCGAGGCGACGCACTGAGGCGGCTCTAACGACGCGCGCTCAAATCGACACTAGTCGGGCGTTCGCATGACGAGCATCTGAAATAAACACTGCTAATGCGTCCGCAAACTGAGATAGCTATCTTATCCAAAAAAACGTCAGGTCAAAACAACTACTGACTACCAGACAAACGCCTGAATCGCGCAACTTACACCACGCCATAAAAAAAACCCGATATGAATATTAGTTACGGTACCAGACGTGTGAAGGACCACGGATAGCGCGACTGTCATTAGCTAGACTAAAGTCGCCACTGATACAAAAGTCGCGGCTTAAGGATCAAGACGAAAGGCTAACCTATATTACACGAGTAGATCTGACGAATGCGACGCGAAACTAATCCACGGTGACTCAATCTGACGAAACTACCGTTAGGTAATCCAAGCCACCCTTAGATGAGCATAACTACGCAATGAGGGTTCGAAGAACGAGGTGCGGGAGATGGAAAAACGCCCTTCACTGCTATTGGGTCGCGCAAATTTCTTGTCAAGCACCCCTTGCATTTTCAGCTGCCCAACTCGGATTGCGAGCAGCAAAACCGGTTGCGAGGGCAGCTGAATAGCTGCTTGTTCAACCACGCACAAATTTCTGGACCATCCCAACCAACGCCGTCCCGCACCTCACGCAAAAAATTATCGTCGGCGAGAAGATAATTACCAAATGGCACGGCTCCTAACAAGTTCCAGCCTGCCCTAGGTCCATCCGTGCCAAACGTATTCTATCCATCATCTAAACCTGGATAGATGGCAAAACTCTACAACAGCAATACGCGCCATCGACAGTTTCGATAGCCAACAAACCCAACGAAATGAAACCAGACCAAACAGCAAAAGTTAACCAGCCTATGAATCAAAGGTACACACTCCAACTTGACAACAATCGTGTGTGTGTTTCAAATCCAATCAAGCACTGTAAACCTGTGTAGGTATTGGATCCGCTCGTACAGAGTACACCAATTGGGCCGCCGTAAACTGTCTGCCACTCGAATTTCCCTCCTGAAGCATGCTGGTCTCTGCCGTTATGGGAGGAAAAATTCGTTGCCCCATGATTCCACACACCATCACCATGCCATGATGCCACATCCATACCATGGTTCAAAGCAAATCGCCACCATTCGAGGCGTAACTCCACCATCGTCCAAGTGTTCATACTGTTGCTACAAGTATCCGCGCCGCTCCGTAGCCGCCAAACTTGCAGCACCGTGTCGCGTCGCACCGCACTGCACCCGAGCCAAACTGGTTGAACATTTCAGAACTTCCACACAAAATCGTTTGAAACCACTCTACTTCGCGCGCAGCGGCCGCCACCCAACCCGACTAAGCGATTCTTGCCAGGGGAAGGTCGAGTCGGAAGAACATGGATCACCGAGGACGCTTCTAGTCGTGTTTCAGCGCGCCACCGCTACTCCCACCAGCTCCATCATTCCCACACATCCCTTCCATGACTACTTATGAACCATTCTGTTCACCGAGCAAGCTTATCTTTCCGAAAGGCTTCCGGCTAGTACTGGCGAAAACCCAATGGCACGCGGCAGCGTTGAGAGTCTATAGCGTGGATGGGACGGGTTGGGTAGAGAGTCGTGAGTGAGCGAGCTGCCTGCTGCCTGGATTGAACCTTTACTACGCTTGTTGCCTGAAGAAGATTTCTGTTCCACGGCGATTCTCTCGAAACTGATCTCCACGGCCTGGCGAAATCTTCAGGCGACAACTTCACGGCGTGATCTTCGCGGCGGAATGGTGGTCCTTCTCGCGCGGTGCATGGTGGAGGAATCTCTCCCGTCGGGCGGCGCTTCTCCGACGCACGGCGCACGGTTTTATTTCTCTTCTTCGTCATCGTGTCTTTCTGCTTTTTTTCAGCTTTATCATTATTCCGCTTGTTCGTTTCTTATTCTTATCCTTCTCGAGATCACTTACTTACTTCGTTTATTCTTGGTGCGTTCAGCAGGAGGAGTTCAGGAGGAGTCGCGCGTGGTGTGCGAAGCGGGTGGAGCGAGGAGCACAACTTCACGGCGCGATCTTCGCGGCGGAATGGTGGTCCTTCTCGCGTGGCGCATGGTGGCGGAATCTCTGCCGTCGGACGGCGCTTCTCCCATTGCACGACGAACGGCGCACGGTTTTATTTCTCTTCTTCGTCATCGTTTCTTTCAGTTTTTTTTCAGCTTTATGATTATTCCGCTTGTTCGTTTCTTATTCTTATCCTTCTCGAGATCACTTTCTTACTTCGTTTATTCTTGGTGCGTTCAGCAGGAGGAGTCCAGGAGGAGTCGCGCTGGTGGTATGCGAAGCGGGTGGAGCGAGGAGCACAACTTCACGGCGCGATCTTCGCGGCGGAATGGTGGTCCTTCTCGCGTGGCGCATGGTGGCGGAATCTCTGCCGTCGGACGGCGCTTCTCCCATCGCACGACGCACCGCGCTCGGTTTCATTTCTCTTTTTCGTCATCGTGTCTTTCTTCTTTTTTTTCAGCTTTATCATTATTCCGCTTGTTCGTTTCTTATTCTTATCCTTCTCGAGATCACTTACTTGTTTCGTTTATTCTTGGTGCACTCAGCAGGAGGAGTCCAGGAGGAGTCGCGCTGGTGGTGTGTGAAGCGGGTGGAGCGAGGAGCACAACTTCACGGCGCGATCTTCGAGGCGGAATGGTGGTCCTTCTCGCGTGGCGCATGGTGGCGGAATCTCTGCCGTCGGACGGCGCTTCTCCCATCGCACGACGAGCGGCGCACGGTTTTATTTCTCTTCTTCGTCATCGTTTCTTTCAGCTCTTTCTCAGCTTCATTGTTTTTTTGCTTGTTCGTTTCTTATTCTTATCCTTCTCGAGATCACTTACTTACTTCGTTTATTCTTGGTGCGTTCAGCAGGAGGAGTCCAGGAGAAGTCGCGCTGGTGGTATGCGAAGCGGGTGGAGCGAGGAGCACAACTTCACGGCGCGATCTTCGCGGCGGAATGATGGTCCTTCTCGCGTGGCGCATGGTGGCGGAATCTCTGCCGTCGGACGGCGCTTCTCCCATCGCACGACGCGCACGGTTTTATTTCTCTTCTTCTTCATCGTTTCTTTCAGTTTTCTTTCAGCTATATTATTATTCCGTTTGTTCGTTTCTTATTCTTATTCTGATCGAGATCACTTACTTACGTCCTTTTAAGTCGTTCTCTGTGGTGCAGGAAGTTGGGAGCTAAGGAGCAGCGCAACGCGAGGATCGAACGAGGACCAACAATGAGAAGCAAGGAGCAACGAGGAGCGAGGAGCAGCGAGGGGCTTGACTCCCCCCTTCCCTCCCCCTTCACTTCCTCAGGAGGTGGAGCAACAACTGCAACAGCAGCACATGGTAACCGGTGGGCCGTTTAGGAGCGTTAGATCAGATCGTAGGAGCGTTAGTAGGAGCGTTAGATCAGCCACAGACAGGACAGACAAGGGCAGTGTGGGCTGGGTGGGTAGGCGATGGGGACGCGACGCGACGGGGTGGGTTGGGTTTCCTCCTCCTCTTTTCTCCCGCCACTTTTTGTGGCTCACGGCAACCTGACAACCTGACAACAGCGAAGCTACTTCCAGCTCTGAGGTGTTCCCTGCCCGCTGGCATTTACTTTAATCCTAACCGTTCCTCCTCTTTGTTTTACTGTTTTTTCTTCCCAAGCATCCCTCCCCCCCCACTTGCAGGTTTCCCTAACGAAGGACCTCCACCTCATCGTGGTGTTAGGGTGAACGCCAGAGGCTTGTCCTCTAGCGGCCAAGAGGGGTCCAATCCAAACCAAGGTTGAAGTTCCAAGGTCCAAGATTGAAGACCTTACTCTAGATTTAGAGTTCTGAACATGAGATGTATGTAGACTTCATTATACTATTTAATAGAGTTTCGGTTCAGTTGTTTTGAACTCTCAGATTTTGACGGAAATGCGACTTCGAGAGCATTCATGGTTGATTAAGTACACGAAAAAAAAAAACCATAAATCTTCAGTCAGGGGGTTTGGCATGGTAGGGCAAAGAAGAAAGTTAAAATTGAAGGGAGAAATTTCTGGTCATGGTTATTTCAAGCAGTGCAGTGAGCTTGCAGCAACTCCTGCAATTCTTGCAGATTCGCTATCAGGAAGTCTCATTCACCAGGTCTTGCTACAACCTAGAGGTAGTACGGTAAGCAGGAAGGTTTTCAAGTCAAAATGTCAGACAAAAGCCAATAGCTGTCACCTCCCTTCTAATTGATGACAATTTCATAAGCTTCAAATCATGGTACGGTAACATCAAAACTGTTTGCGAGCCCGTTCCCTAACCCTAATCTCCTAATCTCGTACCCTTTTATTGCATGTAATTTGGCGGCAGCACTGGGTGCGACGGGCTTTTATACAGCGACGGGTGGACAAATGGGATGAGTGCTAGGGTGATAGCATGCTCGTAGTACGTCTGACGTGTAATCTCCCCATTGGTCAGATATCCCACTGTGCCGCCTCGGGATTTGCTGCCCTCTTGACAAAACACCTCGTCTGTTGCTTCCCCCAGCTCCATGCCCCCTGCAACATGCCAATAACGAGGATGAAAGCTACGAAACATGATCCAGGGGAGCAGGTATGGTTTCACAGGAGAATTCATGCTTGTAAAAAAATTCCCAGAAACTCATTAAATCTGCACCATAGCCCTGATGTCACCACAATATCACACACCCTCCTTCCCACGTGGCACACACCCTTCCCACGTGGCACACACCCTTTCCACGTGGCACACACCCTTCCCACGTGGCACACACCCTTCCCACGTGGCACACGCCCTTCCCATGTGACACACTTCCCCACCATGCAATCCCCCTTCCATACTTTCCCCCAGCCCTCCCACTCCTACCATATCTAATCCCCCCTCTTGTAACCCCATCCTCTCTCCCTTCCCACCTTGTTCCCCTCCTTACCCCACCTTCCCAGTCACTCTTTTCCCTTCCCCTGCCCCCCGTCCCCTCCTGCCCCTGGTCCTCCTTCCCCCCTTCCATCTCTCCCCCACCTTGCACCAGTTCCGCCAGTGGTGGCGGAAGCATGAACGCGGCCGTCCGCGCTCTCGTCTCCCCCGAAAGCGCGTTCCCTCCGCTTCCCCCTAAACTTTTCCCGCCGCCTCTCCCCCCGTTCACTCCCCCAAGCGCCGCGCCTCCTCTCCTCCCTGCCACCCCTTCCCCGCCCCCGCCCCCTGCCGCTTCCCCCACTCCCCTCCCCTGCTGCTGTCTCCCGTTCCCCGCCCCGGGAGCCGCGCCCCCGCCCTCCCCGCTTCCGCCCACCACCGCGCCGTCCGCTTCCGCCTCGTCTTCCGCGCGCGCGGACGTGGACAGTACGACAGCCCACGCGAAGCACATGAGCTGCGGCGGATCGGAGAACCGGCACCACTCCACTCCCCCCTCGATCGCAACCACGAAATCCGCGCCTTCCGCCACGCTGCTGCGCGCCACGTGCAGCAGGCGGTTCCGCGCGCCCGCGAGAGTCTCCGCGTCGCCCATCGGCTGGTCCGACACGCCCGAGTCGGCAGGGAAGCCCTCTAATTCGAACGACTCGTGGGGGAACAAGCGCCGGAGCGCCTCCCCCGCGGCGTTAATCTTCACGGGATTTCTAGAAGCTACGACCACGCGTCGTCTATTGTTCCACGCGCCGTCAGCGCTATTCTCTCCGCACGACGCCATCTCCGCGCGTCCTTCCCCGCGGCATGCTTGCGCCTGCGCGCGGTTCCTTCCGCCCGGGGAGTGGTGCGGCTGCAGCGATACGCGCGCGGAGGGTTGGTGATGCGCCGCAACGCGGGACGGGAATATGGCGTCGTAGGTCATTAAGTGGGAGCGCGTTGGTTGACTGCTGGTTCTAACACGTGACTAAACTAGATCGGCGTGACTGTGACTATTCCGTGCGATGAATAAAGCCGTCAAACCAGACACGTCTGGTGAGAAAAAAGGGAAAACAATCTATCACTCACAGCTAAAAATACGCCACCGCTGTTCGCGCTTCTGACATGGCTTGCGTTGCGGTTGGCTGTGTGCGACAACCCAAACTGGTCAACTCATGAGCGGGTACGTGTGGTTGGGGGCGATGAGAGCACAAGGGGTCGCAGACTGACCTAGAGTTGTCGCAGCACGGGATGAGTCGCAAGCGGAGTTGTCGCACAATGACGTGCTGGGCGGTTTTGGCGCAAAGCCCCATGCCAGGGGTGATGCGAGGACGCGACGTGATATGATTTGCTACAGTAACAACAGTTGACACCGAAGTTTCATTACACCTTGTACAAATTGATAAGTGCTGGCTGATTGAATATCACATATTGATTTTTAAGTCATCAAGCAGAGATATACATAGCAGTTCACAATCACGTTGCACAATTCACTCATGAAGCTCTCCTCTGCATAGCCTGCAAAATCTCCTGCAAGTCGTCATCGTCATCATCTGACATGGCACTCTCTTCTGCAACCTTGTCCCTCCCTCTTCCCATACCTACCACCCCTCTTCCTTTACCACCCCTCACACCAGCTCCTGAACCATCCACCAGCTGACTTCTCCCTTCACTCGCCCCACACTTAATATCCTGAACCTGATCACTATTACCAAACAAATCCCCTTCCTCCATCCCCACTCCAGCCCCCACCCCCACCCCCTCATCCTCGTCATCATCGTCATCAGAATCACCATCTTCCACCACTAGCGCTGTCACTGTTGACGCTCCCGCTGCTATTGCCACAGGAACCGCCAATGCTGCCGATGAAACAGGCACAGCTGCCTTTGCTGCCCCTCCCCCATCGAATCTGCTATGACCCACACTTCCCCTCCCTGCACCCCCCCCTCCTCCGCCTCCTGGTTGTCTTGAATAACTTTCCACGCTTCTTGTTCTGGATAGCTTCTGCTCTTGCGCTTTAATGTGCGCCACTGCTGCAATTGCCACACCACCAGGGGGGACACCACTACCAGCAGCACCTGCACCAACACCTGCACCAACACCTGCACCAGCGGCAGCAGCGACGGACGAACCACAGCCGCTGAATGTTCTGCCAAGCCGTTTGGGGGGTTCAGACACATTACCTGAGGGGCCAAATAGGTCCTCATCCACTGCTGCCCCACCTGGGGCAGCAACACTAACCCCACCACTACTACTACCAACACCAACTCCAGCTCCGGCGGGAGCAGCAGCAGCAACAGCAGCGTCATCATCATCGTCATCATCGGAATCACCATTATCCGCCCCAAACAAATCCTCGTCCACTGCTCCGCCATCCCCCCCCATTGACCCAAACAAATCCGCATCAACCGCCATGCCCTCCCCTCCCCCCACTGAAGCCGCCTCCTTGCAACTCCCCCCTCTCCTCCCCTCCTCCAGTCCCCGTTTCCCCACAGGCAGCGGGGGGCTGCCCCCACTCGCGTCCCTCCCCCCACCCAGCCCGTGCATGCCCTTATCCGAGTGGCACCTGGCAGGAGCTCTCAGCGCGTTGTGAAGCATCTCTGCCTGGCGACTGGAGAGAGAGTGGCAACCCATACCGCCCGGACCTCCACCCGCTCCCGGACCTAGTCCCGAACCAGCCTGACTGTTACCACCAGCGCTGGTGGAATGGAGAGGCGAGGGGGACGAGGCACACGCGCCACTGCTACTGCCAGCGCCAGCGCCGGCGGCGGCAAGGTGGGCCCTGACTGTGTCTCCTGATCTGCTCCTCAATAGAGGCGGCTTCACAGCTTCTTCTATCAGCATCGCTGCTTTCCCCACCGCTGCTACTGGGCTGCTGTGGCCGCCATGCGTGTTGTGCGCCCCACTCTTGCTTGCTACAGCCGCTACAGCCGCTGCTGCTGCCGCTGACATCCCTCCTTTCGCTGAGTGCCCCCCTATCCCTCCTGCGCCCAATGCTGACCCACCAGCACCTCCGCTTTTGCTGCCATGCGCGGAAGGGACAGGGGGAGGCCCGCCCCTGCTTCTTCCCCCTAACCCCCCTGGTCCGGGTTTCGCTTCCCCCGCACTTCCGCCTGCGCCACTCCCCCCTGCTGCCGATCCTACCCCGCAGCCTCCCCCGCTTGCTCCGCTTCCACTGCCGCTGTTCCCGCTACCTCCCACTAGCAATGCCCCCTCGTTTCGGCCTCGTGACTTGGACTTGGTTAGCTGCTTGTACTGTGAAAGAAATTCTTCGTCCGAGTCACTACTTTCCCCCTCCTCCGCGCCTTCCTCCCCCGCAGAGTGAGCTGCCTTCGGCGGGGATGCGCCGCTTCCCCCAGCACCTCCGCCTGCTGCGGATTTCCCCAGCGGAGCAGCCAGCGGAGTGGGGGAGCCCGGGTCATGCGGGGGGGCATCTCCTCCGCCGCCCCCCGCAACCGGCGCAGCGAGCGGAGTGGGAGACCCCGGGTCATGCGGGGAAGCTTCGGTCACCGCCGCCGCCGCTGTGGAGATTGGAGCGGGGCGTGCGGCGGAAGTGGCGGAAGCGGTGGCGGGCGTGCGCGCAACAGGCGCAGCAAGCGGAGTCGGCGAGCCAGGATCGGCCGCCAGCGCGGGCGCACCCGCGGAAGCACCCCCCGACGAGCTCCGTGGAGCGGCAAGAGGCGCTGCTAAAGGAGTAGGCGAGCCGGGGTCGTGCGGCGGAATTTCCGCAGATCCCCCGTCTGCTTCTAGCGCCGCCGCCGTAGGCGCGGAAACTGGTGCGCCGAGCGGAGCAGCGAGCGGAGTAGGGGAGGGGAGGTCAAAGGCGGAAACTGGTTCCGTCAATCCAGCACCGGTTTGCACGGTCAGTTGCTTCTTGGGACCACCCGTGGCGCCTCCCATCGGCACGCCGTCTTTAGAATGAGAGTTAATGCTGCGTGTATTGGGATGCGCCTTGGAATGCGGAGCGTGAGTATGCGGCCTGGAGTGATTAGCGCTTGTAGCAGCAGCACCAGTAGTGCCATGACAACTGTTATGACCATGACCGTGACTCCCGTCTGCTACGCGACGATCGGGACCGCCGCTTTCCTCCCCCAGTCCCCGAGCCTGCTGCGTAGGTCTGGCACCGTGCCTACCTCCAGGTCCGACGGCACGGGGCTCGGCGTGCATCGGGCCGCCTCGACCCCGACCTCTCCCGCGTGCTCCGCCGCAATCCTCGGTGACGACGTGTCCATCGCGCCTCGGAGCTGGTTTTGGAGCAATACTACTCGCGGTGCCATCTCTAGGAGTTGTTACTCGTTGACCACGCCGAATCTGACTATTGCCTGACGGCGTGTCAGGATAAAGCTCTTCTTCCGCCGATGCTGTAGAGAAGCGGTTATTTGAAGAGGAGATCGGAGTCGCTACTGGAGCATCGTCGTCGAGAATAGGATGCTGGTCGGATTGAGAAAGGTTTGCCGGTCGGCGGTACGGGGATGCTGAAGTAGCAACCACGGGAGATCCATTAGCGACGGCCGGTTTTCGGCAAGACGGTTTTGGGGAACTGTGATGTGCTGTCCTATTTGGATTCATGGCGACTAACGCTGAATACTGTAGCTAGTGAACAGATAAATAACCGGTAGTATCTAGTCCATCAAGGTTAGTGATTAAATACAAGAATTCTTACACTACTCGTGGCTCACACTACTTACGAGCTGACCTATGAGATGCATCCTTAAGCCTCTAAGAGCTAGCCGTTCAGTAGACTAGGTAGGCAGGGCAGGCAACAGGCTCAAGGCATGGCATGGCAGGTGAAAATGGTGACGTGGCGAGCTATGTACCCTTGGCCAGTACAGTTGCAAAGTTCACCCCCAACACCCTCTGTAGATAAGGTTCTGACGGTAACTGACTTCCTGACGGACAAACTGACCGAGTGCGACGTCTGCGAAAAGAACCCCGTCCCCAAGCCTCCGTCCATCTGTCCGTACTTGTTCAATTCACTTCCGATTTGGTTTCGCACTGCCCGTGGCTGTATCAGTCGCGGCGAGCTGGTTGGTTGGGGAAATCTTGACGGCAATTTCTTGGTGGGTCAGGCTTGGCTTGGGAGCTGATTCGGTATAGCCTTGTGAATGGGGTTTGGAGGTTTCTTGTGGGGTGGCTCGGCAATTGAGAAGTTACCGAGGCCGATAATCAATAGATTCGACCAAAACACTCTCAGCGCAATTTGGTGAACGAAGGCACCTCTACCAGGCAAAATTTCCTTTGTTGAAAAAATCAGCTTCTCACCCATCACATGCAAAGTGCTAGAATGCATGGAGGAAATAACGTTGTATACCTAGTTCTGGATCTAATTCAAAAGAAAGTCTGAAGATATGAAGTCAATGTTGGAGCTGAAGCTCACTCTCCTCCTATGTGTTGGCCTCTTTGGCTTAGTTGTGCAGCTCGTTGGAGAAGAGGATTCTGTTGTCATCTCAGGAAAAACGTGGAGTGGAGTTAGCTCCAGGCTCCATGATTGGCTATTACTAGTATCTTTTAGGAGTCCAGCCATATCTAAGCTAGTCGTCCGCCACATTCGTTCACCAAAACGCGCTCTGGTTGCTGCCTGACCACCATGTTCAACTTGTGATCCCAGCGGCTGATGCTGTTGCTGTTGCTGCTCCCTCAGATAAAGCCCCCCTTGACCTGTCCCTCTTACCTTTACTCTCGCCTCCTGCTCATCCCGCATTGCCTCTTCCCCCCACGGCCCTTGTTCTTCCTGAACCGTCACCACCTCCGTTCTCTGCTGTTCCTTCGGCTGCAACGCCCCATGCTGCTTCACCTGCTCCTGCTGCAGCAGATGCTCCGTTTGAAGCTGCTTCAGTTGCTCCTGTAGTGCATCCACCTGTGCCTGTAGCTCCTCATTTGACAAGTTTCGCCTCCGCCTGAGCGTCTGCTCCGTGCCCTGTGTCATCCTTCCCCTCTGCTGCTGTGGCAACTGCTGCGGCTGCTGTTGCTTTTGCTGCTGCTGCCGCTGCTGCTGCGCGGATGGCGAGTCAATAATGCTTCCATCCTGCTGCTGCAGCTGCTGCGGTGATGGTGCTGCTGCTGCTGCTGCTGCTGCTGCTGCGATAGAGGCGAGGCAACAACGTTCTTGTCCTGCTGCTGTAGCTGCTGTTGCTGCTGCTGCTGCTGCTGCTGCTGCCGCTGCCACCACAGCCGCACATACTCCTCATGTGCCACCTCGTGCCCTGCACGGCCCTCACCCACTCTCCGCTGCTCCTCTCCCTCGCCCATCACCTTCCCCACTCGGCTACGCGGCACCATCCCCTCCCCACTACGTATTGCCGTGAAGCCCACAGACAGCACCTGCTGCTGCCGCCTTTGCTGCTGCTGCTGCTGCTGCTGGCGCGCGAATCGTGGCGAAGCGAGCACTCCACTGGAGGGGGAGGAGGGCACAGAAGTCAAGGCGCCGTCACTGCTAGTAGTAGCAGCAGCACCCGTCCACTGGCGCTCGTTCCCACAGGCGTGTGAGACCATGCGCGGCGACGGAAGCGACTTTTGGGGCAACAGCCGAGTCTCCTGAGGCGACTTTTGAGTCGACTCAAGGGCCGCGCTCTGGTGCTCGCTGGCACCGATGCTGCCGTTGCTGCCGCTGACGCCGCTGCTGCCGTTGGTGCTGCTGGCGCCGCTGCTGCCGTTGGCGCTTCCGCTGGAGCTCGCGCTTCTGAAGCAGACGTCTTCCCCCGCGCACTCCACATCTAGGTCCATGGAGCGCGATGCCCTGCGCCGGGGGGTTACCGCGCCTGCGCCTTCCGCGTCGTCCGCGCGCGTGCCGTCGCCCGTGACCTCCGCGTCCTCCGGAACGCTGCGGATGGGGAACTGGTCCGAAAATCTCCGCGCGCGCGCGCCGCGCGCTTCCGCTGCTCGATGCGCTTTTCCCGTGGCGCTGAACGGCCCGGGGGCGCTGCTTCCGGGCAGCGCGCGGCTGCCCCTCCCGCTGACCACGCTGGCGCGCACGGAGAGAGCGCTGGTGGCGGCGGCGAGGGCTGCAGCGGCGGCGGCGCGCTGCTTGGCGGCGACCCCGTAAAGCTGCACGAACTCGTCGTCGGAATCGGAAGATTCAGAAGAGTCGGAAGAATAAATTTTCAACGCTGAACAAGGATCTGCCAAGGGGGAACGAGGACCAGCCGAGGTCGCGTGCGGCGCCACGTCGGCGGAGGGTCGTGCGAGCTCTGTGCGACAAAACGCTGTCTTGTCGCCACCAGTGACCGCCGCCGCGGCGGCCGGCCCGGCGCGCGTCCTGTCCGCCGCCGTGCTTTGCGGAACGTGTTGAAAGCAACTCGAAGACCGGCTCCGCGGAAACGACGTTCTGGCCGGGAAACGCGGCGAGGAATCTTGACTATGACAATCTCTGCTTGGCTTCGATCGACGTGCTAACGACGCGGCTGCGGAATTCGTGCGCCTCGGAATGTCGTTATCAGCGCTTCGAGCAGTAGCAGAAGGAGCTGGAGCAGCGGCGGCGCGGGGTGATACGACTGGCGGCGCGCCAGGGCGCGACTTGAGGCTCCCGCAATCCGCGGCGTTACCAGCGATGGCAGCAGCATTGCCGTCGCAAGATGCGGTTCTGAACATCCTACCCGTTTGCGGCGGCGCAACGGCAACCAAAGGCCTTGGTGAGAGCGGGGCACGGGGAAAGGTTCCGCCTCTGTCGCGCTCCCCGCGCCGCACGACCACGACCTCCGTCCTCTGCAAAGGCGGCGGGTCGGAGCTTCCGCCTGGGCTTCCGCCGGAGTCGCTTCCGCCGGAGCCGCTTCCGCCGGAGCTCTCAACACTCGTCGGGGGATTGTTTCTGACGCGGGGATGCGGACCCGAGCTCCCGCCGCCGCGCTCCTGCCAGCCGTTTCTGCTAGCGGCCGCGGCGGCGGCAATAGCGCCGTTACTGATGGAGTGGCTGCGGGGAAGGCGCGACACCGAGGTGACCTCCGCGTGCTCCTGCGCGCCGCAGCGCCAAGCGGTGTGGTTCAGCGCAGGAGGCGCGGAGACAGGACCGGGGGAATACATGACCGCGGCGGTGGCGGAGGCGGAGGCGGAGGCGGAAGCGGAGGCGGAGCTCGGGGAACGGGAGAAGGGGGAGGTGGAAGAACAGCAGAAGATATCGGGGCTGGCGGAAGAGGAAGCGGCGGAAAGCGGCGGGGAGAACGGGTTGCTCGGGGAAGGGCCGCAACTGAGCGAATCGCTTCTGGAGTTAGTACTACTGTGGTAACCGTTGACCTTGGTAAAATCCGGGAGCGACGGCGTTTTAAGTGTGATGCTTAGCGGTCGAGACGGGCGCCAACGAGGAACGAAAGCGGAGGACCCTGCGTGTTTGACGGAAAGACTACTATCGCCGCCGCCGCCGCCGCCGCCGCCGCCTCCCGCTGCGGCCGCCGGGGGAAGGAGACTTCGAGAACGGGCCTTCTTGGGAATGTGGATTTGCATCGCTGCGGGGGTTCCTCGAAGCGCCTCGAGGAGATGGACTGCTTGCGGGTAAGTCGTCCATGATAGTTCCTCCTCCGCCGCGGCTCGTCGAGATTCCTAGCCGCTAGGGGAGTCGGTAGTGACTGAGTCCCAAACGGGTCTTTAACAAACGGGTCGGTAGCTTCAAGATAAGTTGGCTGCTATATCGCGAACTGATGGAGTATTGCCAATCCCAACGGAAATGGAAGAGATGGAGGCCCGTGAGGCTCGGAGTTTCGACGGCTGCTCGCCGCAATGAATGGACGGACACTGTTTTAACGGACAGGCTATTCTCCTTTCCGCAATCATGAATGGACGGACACAAGCTATTCTCCAACATCCGTTCTCTCCTTTCAGAAAGGAGTGCATGCCACCGCGCAGAAGAATCCTGCCGCAAGGGAATGCCGCCAGCTGGCAGGCGCGTGTTGTTTGTGGCTCGAAGGGTACTTAGCGAGCTGAGCCACCAAGCGTTCATGGCGGGATAATATTTTTTGTGACGCTGCTGAAATGTCGCATTGCGAATGACCTGCGAAAATATTTTTTTTTTTCTGGCAGAGCGACGTCCACGGCGATGCGCTAGTCTTGCGTATCGCGAAAGCTTGATGCGCTTGCGGTCACGTGCATGCACTCGCACACTAGCGGTTCTTGGATCCGAATGTGGGATCGCTGGCGGGCAGAAGGCTCCTCGGGAGTTGCTGGGTTTGGCGGGTCGCCTATGGCGGTGGAGGCTGGAAGCAGAGGGAAGACAAAAAAGCGACGAGGCTGATGGGTTGCACCACGGTGCAGTTCCCGTGAAACAGCTGTAGGGGCGCAATTTCACCCGCAATTTCAACCGCAATTTCACCCGCTAAATCAATTCTGCGTGCGTGCATTTTAGGCATGAAGGTTGACGGGCGGGGCGGGTCACGGTTATAGAGGGCGCTTGCAGTCTAGTGCGATATTTAGCGGGGATGGGATCGTATAGTTAGCCTAGTGTGCGATTTTTAGCGTGTGGCGATGTTTAGTGTGTGATATTTCCTTAGTGCATTCCACCTAAACCACACTATCACTGCGGCGGATGGCCTCGTATGTGTGAGGTTTGTAAGTGGCGAGTTGCATCTGCCATGTACTACAGTTCTGTACTTCACGAATTTACGACACCGTACGCCGGGTGGAAGGGGAAGGGGAAGGGTTTGGAGGGGAAAGCCAGTTTACTTCTCGGAAGTAAATCTGCCCGCAAACTAAGTAAACAATCTCGAGGTGATATTATCCGCCGAGCAACAAGGCGCATGATATTTGGCAGAGCGTATCGAATCGCACAGCTGTCTCAGACATGAGGAGACAGCACGAATCACGCTGCTGGATGGTTCGGCTTGTTGTGAGTCGTGACTTTGTCAGGCTGACAGTTGGATGGTGGAGGTCAGGGAAATCCCTGAAGGGCAGCAGATGAAGGGGGGGGGGGGGGTGGTGGTGGGGGGGGAATGGGGTAAAGGTGGGTTGGGTACGGGTGGGGAGCTGGAAGGGGGGTTCGTGGGGTGCGGGGAGGGGTTCGGAGGGGCGAAAATAGTTGCGGGGGGGCGAGGGGCGATGATGGTGGTGCGGTGCGCTGTGGCTGGACCGGCCAGCCATCTGACACACGACAATGACCACCTAGCCTCATCCGCGTTATGCGAAGGCTGTTAGTATGCGATATGTTTGGCACTTTGGCGTAGAATTATGGTTGTAGGGGGAGGACTAGAATTCACATCAATTCTGTGTCAATGAGTGTGAATACTTCTGTTCATTTCTCCGTTACACTCGTGCACAGACCTGTACATTGTTCACAGCCTGGGAAACCGAAACGTCCACAACCCCATCAATATCTACTGTATCGTTGGCGCGTTACAGTATAGTTTTCTGCGGTTGTTGATCTGATCGGATTTCCTTCTGTGGATTTTCCAGCTCAAGAAAGGACATGAACACGTCACCTCACGGTATTTCTGTATACTATTTGTAGTTTTTGCTGTGCAGTGACGTGGCAAACATCTCAAAGCATTCGATTGCTGCACTGTTTCCAAAGTTGTCCACGGAGCTTTGTTGTTCGTTTCCTCCACCCACTTCGTGATTGCTGCATGTTTTCTCGATCTTTGATTCGATGGTCCAAGCAACCAGCAGCCTTTCCTCCAAAAACTGTTTTTCCTAGCTGCCCTGGACAGAATCTACAGTCGCCCAAAACGTGCTGTACACCCTGTTCTCGAACCGCGATCCCTTTTGCCCGAGAGGGTGTGAAATTAAGGGGGCAAATATTGTCCCTGATAATTTCACCATCGAGGCGCGGTACACCTGTGCTGGCAGGAAATGAAATATGACTTGAATAGACCCAGAGAGTGTTGACGATCTTGAAAAATCTTTGCATCCAATGAAAAACAGTCACGTCAGGATTGCGTTTATCGTAACCCTGACCACAAATTCGAATCTAATTTTGGGCTCCCAAAATTGAGAATTATTCACATTCAGGTTCAAATTCGACACATGCGCGACTTTCCCAAAGTAACACGTGTTTGTAGCAAATCCAGTCCAGTCGTTACAACTTCAAGAGTTGCAACAAACATTGAAACCGTCTTGTTTCACACTTTTGAACGCGACCCGAAAAGACCCAAGCTTCCCCACTTCTCTGGCTTGCTGACAGTATAAAAAGCCGATCATTTCTGCACATCTTCCTTCAATGATCCATCACGGTTCGCCAGCTAGGCAGCCCAAAGCCTTTGCTGGTGATCCCGAGTCGGGGTGTGAAATTAGGGGGTGTAAAATAATCGAGAACAAGGTGTAGACGGGTTCCACAGCCTTCCCCCTTCCCAACCACTTTCACCCGCTCTCAACAGCACCAAAGTTTTCCGAGCAAGGGACGAATTGAGCCAACGTATCTGCCGGAAATAGTTGCTCACAAGAGACGAAACGACACGAAAGGTTTGGCCACAAGTGGGGCGCCAGGCGATGCGATCAATCAACAGGTTTCGTGTGTACCTTGGCAAGGACCACCGCCATTCCATCCATTCCATCCCATCCAACTCGCCCATCCCATCCCATCCCATCCCATCCCATCCCATCCCATCCCATCTCAAACCTATTCCAACCCATTAAAAACCTTTTTCGTCCTTTTCTATCCCATTCCGTTCCATGAATCCTGCCATCCCGTCCGCTCATCACAACATGAATCCTGCTGGTCTCGTCTAGTCTTGTCGCAGCTGCTCCGCTCCGCCCGTCATGAGTACGCGCGGTGCACCACAGTAGTACACCCGCCAAACTTGATCAAGGACAGCCGTGTACTGTACTTGATCAAGGCCACCCCCTCTGATTCCACAACCTCACTTTCTGCTTCCTCCTCATCTCACTGTCAACTTCACATCACACCCTCCAGCAGCTTGGATAAGGCTATCTCACTCCATTCTGCCTCCACTTCTCAGTTCCCTGCAGGGCTTGTCACTCTCACTCCTTCCCAGACTCACAACCCATCGCTCTCAATCAGCTGTGTCCTCCTTACCTTCATTCCGAACCCCGCACTCACAAACGGAGCACGAAATTTTAGACGCTTCAACGCACGCAGCGCGAAGAACCGACGTCGCAGTACGCGAGCTAAATTTCGTGCTGTTTTCCCGAAGTCACAATCTCCGCAATGGCCGCCGCTTTGTGCAAAGACGACAGCATTCTCCTACTACTACCAGACGGCGGCGTGCGCATGTTCTCCGACTCGCGCCCCGGCGATCCGCCCCTCCTTGTCTCCGACGTTCTCGCGGAGTTCCCCAATTGCCGCGTCTGCCGCCTCGACTCCCCCTCCTCCCCGGGACGCTCCCCCTGCCTTTCCCCTCACGCCGCGCTCCGACCGGGAACAACGTATTTCCTCGTGGAGCCTATGACTCACAGGGTTGACCCTGGCTATTGCGGCTTCGACCCTGTTACAATGGAACCCGTTAAAAGTATGAAGGGCTCTCCAGAGCCTTTTTATCGGCCGAAGAGCGCCGGCGCCGGCGGCGCGGGGGGGCAGTTTCCGGACTTTATGGAGACTGCGGGCGGTTATTTCCACTCAGCCGCACAACCCGGCGCACAACCCGGCCAGTATTATTCCCACTCCAGAAACACGAGCCTCAGCAGTAGCGGAACCAGCAACAGCAAGTGGCGGCTTCAGCGTGTGCGGCAGCGACACGAGCTCCGGCTCCCGGCGGTTGACGCGCGGACTCACGTCTCCCGCCGCCATGGGCTCCGCCTCCGCGCAATGCTCGCAGAGCTTCCCCGCGCCGCTAATACCGTGTGACGCGCCGGAGCTGCTCGACATTTCCGCCGTCGCTGCGCGAGCCGCCGCCGCATACGGCGGTAACGCCTCCCCCGTGTCGGGTATGGCTCAGACGGGCCCATTTATGTGCCGCACCGCGTCCTGGTCCGCCGCTTCCGCTCCCGGATGGGCCGAGGCGTACGGAGCCGCGCTTAGCTACGAAACCGGCGCGCACGATGCTTCCCCTTCGCGGTCATCCCTAGATCTGGATTCGCCGCCGCAAATGCGTTCGCGCCACGTGACAGCGGAAGACGCGGCGCTTGATTTTATTAAGCAGCACAACGCGACAACGTCCTCCGCAAGTAGGCGGTATCAGCGCGCGCCTCTGCCCCCGCGGTGTTCCGTGCAGCAGCCTTCCCCGCGGGAGCAGCAAACAGCGGCAGATGTGCTGGCCGCAGGTGCTTCTGGTCGTCTACGGGTGCAGCGGAGCAGCAGTACCCGCAACAAGATCGTTTCGCTTGAAGATATTGTTTACGGACGGGTAACCTCGTGAGGCATACACGTACATCCAGTTTTATTAAACCTGACATGCTACTACGGCAGGAGTGTGGAGCAATTTCCCTCCACAGGAAGGTTTTTCCACCAGCTTTGAAATAGCTGCCTCCTTAAGGGTTGGTGTAAATGTGTTGGCTGCGACCATTTTGTGTATGTGTTTTCCCAAGGATGAAGCATACCACAAGGAATGCTGCTCTCCTTGGTTTTGAGTTTGTGCTGAGTATTTTTAGCTGGCGTCCAGTGTTGCCCCATTCTTAAATTTCCAAGAAAAGGTACAGGTTGAAGCGCCCATTGAACACACATTACTTTTTGTTTTGGGAGCTACTACTATTCAGTAAGCCAAAAAGCACCCAGATACCAGCTTCAACCTAGCATGTGAGCCACGCTAGTTTCATCAGGGAGAGTGGGAATGGCGCCTCTAAGTGTGGTGGTGATGGTTCCACACGCATTCGCAAACAGCAGCGTTTCCTTCAGCTTAGCCTCATCTACCCTCAACCCAGCACCTGCGCCACCCTCATTTCATCAGGGAGAGCGGGAATGGCGCCTCTAACCGTGGTGGTGATGGCTCCACACGCATTGGCAAACAGCAGCGCTTCCTTCAGCTTCGCCTCATCTGCTAGCAATGAATCCAATGCAGCAAAGCCATTGCTACCGCTGCTGCCTCCTGCTAGCTTGCGGAGAAACCCTGCAACAAAGGCGTCACCAGCACCAGTGGTGTCTATAGCAGCAACACTGAACCCATCCACTCTCCCCTGGTACTGTTCTGTGTAATACCTGCATCCCTTCTCCCCCTCAGTTACCAGCAAGAGCCTAAGCTTCCCTTTCCCGTCACCATCGCCGCTGCTGCTGTTTTTGTGGCTGAGATTGAACAGAGACCGGGCCACGTCATCGCTGTATGGGTCGCCGCCATTGGTCAGAAACGCCACCTCCTCGTCGCTCACTTTGATGATGTGCGCGCGGTCCCAGATGCTCAAGATGCCGTCCCGCGCCGCTTCCGGGGACGGCCAGAGGGGAATCCGGAGATTAGGGTCGTAAGAGAGAACAGTGTTACCGCTAGCTTCCACAGCATCTAGCAAAGCCAGATGCGCGGATTTGCACGGATCTGTGATTAAACTGATGGATCCGTAGTGTAGCACAGATGCGCTTGTAGCGAGGGGGAGATCAAGCTCCTCCGGCTGTAGCAGCATGTCCGCGCTAGGGTTCCTGTAGAACATGAATTCCCTCTCGCCGTCAGATCTGAGCGTGACAAAAGCGAGGGCTGTGCGCGCTCCCGCGTCGAATCTGAGCGCTGACGTGTCAACGCCGTTCGTTTTGAGAATCCCGCCAAGCATGTGTCCGAATTCGTCCTCCCCAACCTTCCCCATGAAAGCCGCGCGTCCACCGAGCCGCGCAATGCCAACCGCCACGTTGGCAGGCGCGCCGCCAGGAGCCTTCATGAATGCAGGCGCTTCGGCGAGAGAGACGCCGTTGACGGTGGGGACAAAATCGATGAGCATTTCGCCGAAGCATACGACGAGCCCGGAGGAGGAATCACCGGCACCAGCGGCATCAGCTGAAGTTGCACCGGCCATCTCGTGAAGATTGGACGACGCGACGACACGGAAGGAGGAAAGGTCACGGTTTCGTCGAAGAGGACTTGCTGGAACCGAAATTTTGTTGGCGGATCGAACGAGAGGAACACGAAACCCAGAAGAGGTGGATTTGAGCTGGTGAGAAACAGAGTCGCTGGATAAGGAATGAGCGCAGGACGAGTCGATCCGGCGACGCTGCTTGGGAGTCTCAGTACAAGCAGAGCTTGCTGTCAGCAGAGCATAGGCGGCGTTGGGAGAGGAGAGGATAAGCGTTGACGTGGGGAGCATGGCGGGAGTGACGGAGAGAAATGGAAACTGGGAAATCCACAGGTTGCTATCTTTGCTAGCTGATATGAGAAATCCCAAACTTGTGAATTTGATAGAATCTATCAAATTCAACATTTTTCCTGCCACAGGTTTGGCTGGTCTGTCAGTTCCGAGGACATCGATACTGCAGATTCGGTCCAAAATGATTCAGCTCGTTTTAGATCGTTTCAGCTTGTTTCAGCTTGATTCCTCGGGGTGCGCGCTGTTGTGGTACGGTACGTATTCACTTGTGTGCAGAACCTTCTACGGCTGTGGCCTGCGCTGTGGGCAGCCGTGCACGAGAGATGACCGACCAGTAAGATGAGAGAGCGGCAAAGTTCCACTAACGGGGGGCGGAGTGGACGGAGAATTTACAGCATCCTGATCCGTGGTCGAGAAGTCAAGGTACGGTAAGGGCGCGTGTGATCCGTGAAATTCGTGAAAGTTTACATTTTTTGGGCGAGTTGTGCGAAGTGAACATAAGTCGAATCAATCTCGACTTCCTTTGTATCGGGGTTCGCACATCTGGACCACAACACTGCAGAAAAGCACACACACATACAAGGTCGAGTGCGCGTATTCGAACTTGTAAAATCGCACCTAGCCGCATTTCTACAACGTAGGTTACCCGGTTCAGACGTCTTGACAGTGCGCCACGCGGCCGACGTGCGCCTCGGTTTCGGATAGCCTAGACCTCCAGCTCACCTTCAACACTGGGGTACAAATATCAGAGGTTGCCCACCTGGAGCTCTCGTCATTCCCCAAACATGACGATTCTCGCCACGTGGCCTCTATTCAGTACACGAAGGCTGTGGTGAGTTCGTTGTGCCACTGTTGCTACTCGTGAGTCGCTCGCACATTTCGCCCGATGACTGAACGTGCGGGAAATCACACACGTGAATGTGAACATGCCGAAGCACGTTCACAACTAAAACTCGAGTCTTGTTCAAGTTTGCAGTTCGCATGTTGCCAAACCCAAAGTTGACGAATTTTCGCTAATAGCTCCATGCGATATTGGCGAAACGGGTAACCACCCAAAGTTCGCACTTTATTTTGAACTTCAAAACCGACCTCACACGCCCTAAATAAACAACAATTCATGAATACAGAAGTTGCAGGCTAAACAGAGATCATAGAATGCTCAATTTCATCTTAGGACGCGGCACCTCTAGCAATTTTGCAGGATCGATCGCAGGATCGCTGATTGCACCGCACTAAAACTCTCTGAAAGCATTTAAAATTCCTAACACAGTTCTTAACTCCGCAAAAAATCGATCCTGCGCAGGATCGATCGCAGGATCGGTGCTACAGGTGCTGCGTCCTTACACGAAAAGGAGTCTCCCATCTAGCAATTTTATGCAACTATCCTTTCATAAGTGCCTAGTGAGGAGGCAGCTGTGTGGAAGCCAGAATTGAGTGTACCAGCCGCAGCAGAGGAGGATCGAGCACGAGCCAGCCATTGGAATGGTTTGTGGCCATGCTGTCATAAAACGCTCTGCTGTGCTGACGACACCCAACAACTCCACACCGCCACATTTCAAACACGTCACACACCTCTTCCCGCCATTATAGTTGACGCACACCCTACAGATCGCTACTACTAGTATCCCATTCGAACTGCTATTACCGTACCACCTCACATTCGAACCGCTGCTGATTGTGCTGCACGTAACCCTACACCAGAGGTACCTCAGCATAAGGTGACTGTGCCATGTAGTTACTGCTGCACGTGGTTACTGCTGCACGTGGTTACTGCTGCACGTGGTTACTGCTGCACGTGGTTACTGCTGCATGTGGTTACCCCGAAGTTGCTCGTCCACCAATGAGATGATTTCATTGACCTGTGGCATGCGGCCCTCTGCCAGCTTCGAAAAGAGCTGCACCAATCACATCGTAGGGAAGACGTGGAAGGGAGGTATCCAGGGTACATGGAGGACATATGGATGGGAGGACGGAACACGTGGCATAGGCATCCGGGGGAATGGGGAAGAAAAATAGATGAGGAGGGAAGAAGTGGAGGGAGGAGTCACGAGGAACACAAAGGAAAAACAGAAAGGAGGGGAAAAAGAAGATTATTGCCTGGTTAAGAAACAGGACCAGTCGACCTGTAAACCAGGACAAGCCATCCCAAGACAACCCGTGCCAACCCGTGTGCATCTCATGACAACCCATGTCATCCCATGACAGCGCACGCCACCCACCCCATGACAACCCGTGCAACCCCATGACAACCCGTGCAACCCCATGACAACCCATGCAACCCCATGACAACCCATGCCACCCACGACAACCCATGCAACCCCATGACAACCCATGCCACCCATGACAACCCATGCCACCCCATGACAACCCATGCCACCCCATGACAACCCATGCCACCCCATGACAACCCATGCCACCCCATGACAACCCATGCCACCCCATGACAACCCATGCCACCCCATGACAACCCATGCCACCCATGACAACCCATGCAACCCCATGACAACCCATGCCACCCCATGACAACCCATGCCACCCACTGGTGCCCAAGCTCACCGTGCGGCCGTCCAGGACGAGCTCGAACGCGCCGGTGCTGGCGAGATTCCCGTGGATCACGTTGCCCACGATCCACACGGTCGCTGCCGAGCCTAGCCGGTTGGTTCGGATCTGCTCGTACCTGTGGGTTGGGAAACCCCACAATAATTGCAGGTTGATTCGAGAAAGGGAAGTGGTGGGGGGCGGTGGGGGTAGGAAGGGCTGAGGAGAGGATATGGGAAGGTGAGTGCCGCAAACCAAATGGGAGGGAGGAACGGCTGAGAGAAGATAGCGGGAGAGGGGGGTGAGTGGGAGAGAGGGGGAGAGAGGGTGGGAGAAGGGAGCAGAACAATGGAGAGGGATGGATGGAAGGACATCTACGGAGGGAAGGACATCTACGGAGGGAAGGACATCTACGGAGGGAAGGACATCTACGGAGGGAAGGACATCTATGGAGGGAATTGCTGAGGAGAGGAATCAGACTTCAGTTCGCTCTCAGGACAAACGCACTCATTCGACAGAGAACGACCATGAAGTGAACAACTCACTCACTCACTCACTCACTCATTCAAAGAATACGGCGAGCTCGGCCATCTGCACTTAGCGATAAGAAGTGACTTATGAGTCGACTCATAAGAATTCCTGATCAAACTACTCACCAGTGGGGAAACGGCGGCGGGAGGCCGACGACGGGCAGCAGCGAGTCTCCCGCGAAGATCACGGCGAACGCCGCCATCTGCGCCGCGGAGAGCAGCTTCGCGAGCACCTGACAGTACGCGGGGGGCGGGTGGTTGCCGAGGCTGACCTCCAGGTCCGGGTACCGATCCAAGAGGATCTGCCGAACCTGCTGCGCCGCCCCCCTGGGAAGAAGGGAAGGAGCAGGACGGACAGAAAAAACAACTACTTAGATTCATGGCGCTCATGGGAGTCGCTGGTTAAATGCTTCAGCAATTACTTTGAATGCTTCAGCAAGTACTTCGAATGCTTCAGCAGCTCAACAGGGCAGACAGAAATACGTATACTGGTTGATTTCTACGTATATGCTAGTACCGTTGCGCTCACGGGAGTCGCTGGTTGATATCCTCAGCAGTTCAACAACCGGGTGAGAAATAAGGAAAGACGATTTGAAGAGAAAGACGAGCGAGAGGAATTGATTAGCGAATGGGGGAGAGAGAAAGAACTTTTGGAGCCCGAGTGGCGTTCGTACCTGTAGGATCAGGAAGTGCAAAAGGAGATTAAGAGGTTGTGCGCATGGTTGCGACTAGGAGTGGAGGACGCCGACGCGAACATCGCGCCGCCGCCAGTAGCGGAGGCTGGATTCGCAGCTAACCCGGCGCCAGACACGGCGGCGGGTGCGGACTCGGGGCCGGATTGCGCCTGCGAAGCGGCAGGCGAGGCGGTGAAGGGACGGATGACGTCAGAGGAGAGGGAGAGCGCGACGAGCAGCACGGCTAGGAGAAGCGGGAACTGCCGCTGCCAATCCATGGCGGTGTGAGCAAGAAAGAAGACGTGTAGGCAACTGGAATACCCGATAAAATGTTTCTAAATGGTCTGGCTTGATAGTTCACAAGTGCTCATGCCGGAGTGGTTAACGGGACAGACTAGAAATCTGTTGGGCTCTGCCCGCGCAGGTTCGAATCCTGCTGAGCACGTTTTGGTTCTGGTTAAGGTTGAATGCAAATCCCCAGATTCAGCCTGATTGGATATCTACCCTGCTGAGTGCTTGAAATCTACAGCTTACTAATCCATGGTTCACCGCATGGGCACACGGTTTATGCTGTGAGAAATCACGGCAGTTTTGAGTTGAGCGACACAGTTTGTTGATGGCGGAGTTACGTGACTAACAATGAAACTTCACACGGAAAGGAGGCCGGCTTCTTATCTTACGACAGCTGGGTGAGTGTGCTGACAAGCGCCACCACCGCCTCCACATCGGACTGAATGGTTGGTTCCTTAGCTGCTGCTGTGAGATGGGATGGACAAGTCGAGAGACAGCAGAGAGAAGAGGCACATTTGACAGATGTAAATTCACGACAGATAGGTGAGTGTGCTGACGAGCGCCGCCACCGCCTCCACATCGGACTGGATTGATGGCTCCCTGGCTGCCGCTGAAAGATGAGAAAGAGAGCAGCAGGGAGGGAGTGAGAGGCAGGTGTTTAAGTGAGCATGGTAACGAGCCTAACGACCGCCTCCACATTTGACTGAATAGATGGCTCCCCGCTGCGAGATGAGAAAGAGAGCAGCAGGGAGACAAGTCAAGAGAAGGACGCGCTTGGCAAGCTTCTTATCTACCACATCACTCTACAACCCTCCCCTCCTCCTACCTTGTCGGTCTCTCACCTTGCACTATAAGCTGCACGGCAGCATCGAAGTCGTCAAGCCGGAGAGCAGAGGGCAGCATGGTGGGACCTGCTAGTCGCACCAACGCCACCTCCACTGCCAGCGCCCTCACCAGCACCCCCAGAAGCAGCCGACACACCGCCAGCCGGGCGGGCGGCAGAGAGGAAGACGAGAGAGCGGAGGAGGAATGGGAAGAGGAGGGGAGTGAGGGGGAGGAGCGGGTGGGTGGGGAGGAGGAGAGGCTGGGGTTTCCAAAGAGGGTGGTGGGGCGAAGAGGAGAGGAGGGGTTGAGGGTGGAGGGGTTGGTGGGGGGTTGGTTGGGGGTGGTGGTGGAGGAGGGGTGGTGGTTGGTTTGGCCTGCAGATGCGAGAATGTCGAGAGTAATTGCCACTGCTTGGTCCTGGTGAGTAGGGGTGTGAGGGAGAAAGGGAAAGAAGATGGGAAGAGAGAGGGAGGCTGGAAAGAGGTACACCCTGAGTAGATAGGTATGAAGAGGATATCATGAATGATTGCCACCGCTTGGTCCTGGTGAGTGGGAGTGGGTGGGAAGGAGTGGGAGACAGCAGAGGATGGGTGGTCTACGATGCAAGAATGTCTAGAATAATTGCCACTGCTTGGTCCTGATGGGTGGGAAGGAGTGAAACGGAGAAAGCAGAAGAAGGCGGAAGAAGGGGAGAAGCAGGTTAGAAAGAGGTATACGCGGAATAGACGGCTGCTCTGCAGATGCGAGAATGTTGGCGAGCAGTGCAGAATATTGCTTTGGTCCTGATGGACAGAGGTGGGCGGGAGAAGTGGGGCTGACAGGAAGGGGTTGGAGAGAGAGTGGAAAGCAAGATGGTGAGGAGAGACGATAGAAAGAGGCAGTGGTGGTGGACGCACGGGCTGTGGTGAAGAAAACAGTAGAAGCGGAACGGATGACCTGAGACGCACCACACACCCAGGGAGTTGAGAGCTCACCTCTAGACCGTGTAACACTTCTGGTGCTGGCAGCACCGGCGCACCTTCCCCCATCACCACCACTGCTGATGCCGCCCCTCCCATTACCCCTGCCATCACGCCTCCCCATCTTCCCCCAAGCCCTCCCATCCATCCCCCCTCTCCTACCTCCCCTCCCCCCACCCCCCTCCCTGCCCACTGCTGCAACCCTGCCACGTCAGCACATCCCCCTGCCATGTCAGCGGCCGAGGGAAAATATCTGCGGAGGAGGGTAGTGAGGAAGTGTAGGGAGTGTAGAGCGAGCGAGTACACCTCGATTGCTACAGTATCCGTGTATTCTGAATGCAGACGACGAACGCCGCCCACTCCTCCTCCCTTCCCGTCTCCTACCCCCATTCCGGCCTTCCCACCCGCTGCCGAGCCTCCCGGCTTGGTTTGCCCTGCCGAACCTGCTCCAAACCCAGCCGGACCCTGCTGCCCCTTCGCACCCCAGAGGCCCAAGCCTCCCGCCGTGCCTGTGCTTGTACCGGGTGTGCTTATAAGAGGGGACTGGGGTGTAGCTGGGGAGGTAGAAGCTACTTTAAGCGTCCCAGATTTGATTCCCTCAGGTTGACCGGTAGGGCTGACCCCCTTGCCTGTGAGAGTAGGGGAAGGGGGGAAGAGGGCAGAAGCAGAGGGAGTGGCGCCGGCTGTAGCAGCTGAAGTGGCTGTAGCGGGTGTGCTTGCTGCTGCTGCTGCTGCTGCTGCTGCGCCTCCTCCTGCTGCCGTTGGTGTTGCTAAAGGGAGGGATTGGGCACCTGTGGTTCCAGTACCAGCTGCTGCTGGTGACGAATTGGCACCACCAGCACCAGAAGCGATACCAGCAGCACCAGCAGCAGCAGCAGAAGCAGCAGAAGCACCAGCACCACCAGTACCAGCAGCAGCGGCTGAAGCAGCATTAGAAGAGGTTTCTCGGCGAGCAGCAGCAGCAGCAGCGGCAGCGGTGGCCCTAGCAGTAACAGCAAACCAGCCCTTATGGCAGCCCACAGTGGCAGGCCGTGCATGAGCTGCTGCCTCCTCCCTCCCACTCATGTGACACACTATGCTGCTCGCTCCCCCCACGGGCCTCGCCAGTCCCTCCCGAGCGATAAATGCCAGGAGGAGAGAGCAGGAGGCGGAGAGATCGGACGAGAGGTTGGGGGGGAGGGGAGGGGAGTGGGGAGGGGAGGGGGAGGGGGGGAGTGTGGGGAGGAGTTGGTGGGAGGTTTGGCAGAGGAGGGAGAGAACGCGGTTGGTGGATCGGAGGGCAGATAGGCTTGTGATTAGCTGATGGCGCTTCTTGGTTTGGTGCCCTCGTGACTGTGTTGATTGTGACTGTAGCGAGGGGTGGGGGAAGAGGAGCGAGGAAGTGGAGGAGGAGGAGGGGGTGGGGGTTGAGAGGGAGAGGAGGGAGCGGGAAGGGTGGAGAGGAGAGGAGAGGGCGGCTAAGAGGAAGGGGAGTTGGAAAGAGAGAAAGTCAAGAGCGAGTCTAGCTGCAGTGGAGGAGAGAGAGAGGAGGAGGCAGGGGAGGGGGAGAGCGAGAAAGGAGGAGCAGAGGAGGGGGTGAGAGCGAGTGAGTCGGAGAGGGAAGGCGGAGGGAGGAGCACGCGGAACATGCAGGTGGCAACAGTGAGAGCTAGCGACCACAGCTCCCAAGCCTCACGCACTGAAGCACTCTCCTCTTCATGATCCATATCATATCCAGCGTCATATCTGAGATTCTCTTCGAGATTATATCTCCTATCCTGATTGTTGTCCTGAATCATTATATTCCCACTCACACCCACCCGTCCCCATACCCCTGCTCCTCCTGCTCCCCTCCCTGCTAACCCCCCTGCTGCTGCTGCCACCGCCGCCGCCGCCGCCGCTGCTGCTGCCTTGAAATCCGACCCCCCTCTATCAGCATACAGCCCGCCAAAGGCAGCGGAAGCTTCCTGGAAAGGGCCGACGCTGAGGTGCGCGTGAGGTGGCAGGCCGTCAGTGATGGTGCTGACATGGCGCAGGAATCCAACGGCCAGGAGGAGATCTGCGCCCTCACGTGTGGATGAGAGGGTGAGGCAGAGACTGAGCACCGCCCGGGCAGATGCAGAGCGAGAGAAGCGAGAGGAAGGGGAGGGGAGAGACGAGAGAGAGGAATATGAGATTGATCCGTCCCATGTGCTGTTCCCAGTTGTTGCTGCTGCTGCAGTGGCGGCTGCTTGTGAGGGTGGAGGGCGGTACTGGAGAGTGGAGGAGAGGAGGGAGGGGAGGGAGAGATGGGCGGATACCAGTGGTCGCCATGTGAGGGGGGAGAGGAAGCACCTAAGGGCTATTTCCACCACTGCCAGAGCCTGCATCGGAAGGTTCCTGGAAGCGTCTGGCATGCCGATGGATCCTTGCGCGTCTTCTTGGATGTTCACGGAAGCTGCCTCGAGGAGCACAGGAAGGTTCTCGGAAAGTACCACCGTGACATCAGCTGTTTTGTCTTGTAGCAGGGAGACGGCAGCGGGTGTGGCGGATGAACTTGGTGGCTCGCTCCTCCTCTGTTCTGACGTCAGCATGACGTGGATCAGCTGCAGGACCGATAGGAGGCTGCCAAGTGTTGAAACGGCAGGCCAGGGCCCCACGAGTTCTGCCAGCTCAGCATCCATCAGCTTTCGGGAAGCTTCCATGAGCTTTCTCACAAGGGTTGAGGCAAAAGACGCAGCAGATTCTAAGAAGCCCTGCTGACTTGCCGGGCTCTTTTGTCTTTCTTGACCAGGAAGCTTCCCGTAAATTTCCTGCTCTTGGTGGTGGGTCCATCGAGTGATCAAGATGTGGAGGAGGCGAGAGGAGGAGAAGAGATAGGCAGCTGGGGAGGGGAGAGGAGGGGAGGAGGAAGAGGAGGAGGGGAGAGGGAGAACAGAGGAGCACGCAACGAGGACTGAGGAGGAGAGAGCGGTGATAGTGCTCTCAAGAAACGAGCGCTCAACCGCAGTCGACCCATCTGCACCGCACTGCACCACCCAGGGATCCTCCGCACCCACCATACTCCCCTGAAACCCATCTGCACCGCTCAATCCTCCCCCACTGCTGACTGCCAGCACGTCTCCTGCAGCCCTTGCTGCGCCCAGCAGCCCCCCTGCCTGCCACAGCAACCCATCTGCTACCAAACACGCCTCTGCTGCTGCTGCCACCAGGGCAAGAGGGGGCGACTTTTCACTAGCAGAACCACCACCACTGCCACTGCCACTGCCAACGCCACCAGCAGCACCACCACCGCTGCTGCTGCTGTCGCTGCTGCCCCAGGAGCGGAGACCAGCAGAGGCAGTGAGGCTGCGAGGGAAGAAGGCAGTAGTCACACTGCAGGCAATGCCCTCTAACCTCTCTACCCTCGCTGCTGCTGCTGCTGATCCCTGCTCCTGCCTCTGCCCCGCTTCCCCTCCTGCTGCCCCTCCTCCTGATTCCATCCCCACTCCCACACCTCTTGCTCCCCCTTTCGGCCTCCCATCCAGCACCTCCCCTCCCAGCAAGCCGCCCACTCCTCCCTCTGCTCCTGCTGCTCCTGCCAGGGCCCGCAGAAGCTTCCCGGCAGCTTCCACCGAGTCCAGGCAGCGTTCGGCTATGGCAAGAGAGGAGGAGGAGAGAGAGGAGGGGGGTGTGACTGAGGAGGGTGTGAGGGAGGAGGTGGAGGAGGCGAGGAGGGAAGTGGAGGAAAGGAGGGAGGAGAGGGAGGAGAGAGAGGAGAGGGAGGAGGGGAGTTGGGATGCGAGTGAGGAGCAGAGGGCGGAGAGGAGAGCAGGTTTCCAGTCAGAGGGGTGGGGATGGTGGTGAGGGGAGAAGTGATTTGAGGAGAGTTGATTGGGTTGAGGGGTGAGCTGATGGTGTAGCTGCTGCAGTAGTGGGTGTGAAAAGAACTGCACGCATGAGTGGGGAAGGAACGGGAGAGGGAGGGAGGGGAGTTGAGGTGAGGCAAGTGGAACGGGAGTGAAACCCAATGGCATACACAATTTAGGAAAAAGAGCGGAGTTCACAGAAGGAAGTAGTGAGCATGGCATGGTGTGTATGGCATAATCAGTATGGAAAGAAGGAAGCTACCTGGAAGGAGACGGAGTGAATCTGCTCTAGCAGTCGCAGGCTCATCCCCTCCACGTCACCAACAGCCACCCGCCACATCAGCACGGCCGCCAGCAGCTTGCATGCCAGCTGGCAGGGTAAAAGGAAGGCGGGGAGACGAGGGAGGTGGGGATGAGGGGGGTGGGTTGAGCTGAGTGAATGAGACAAACGACGGTGACGACGAGTGTGTGTGTGGGAGGGAGGGAAGACAAGATGTAAAGTGTGTGTGGAAAATTTGAGTTTTGAGACGTCTCAAAATGATGTGTGTGTGTGGGAGGGAAGACAACAGCTAAAGTGTGCGGGTGGGAGGGAAGACAACAGCTAAAGTGTGTGGGTGGGAGGGAAGACAACAGCTAAAGTGTGCGGGTGGGAGGGAAGACAACAGCTAAAGTGTGCGGGTGGATCAGCAGCACCAGCAACGCCAATCGCCACTCCCCTACAACCACCAGCTCAGCTGCTGCTGCTGCTGCTGCTGCTGTCCCAGATTCACTGGGTGGGTACACAGCAACTGCTGCAGCAGCAGCTGAGCTGGTGATGGTGTGGGAAGTTGCGGTTGGCACTGCTGGTGTGGGAAGTGGCGGTTGGCACTGTTGGTGCTGCAATTGGATATGTGTGGGTGGGAGGGAAGACCCCTTTCCAAAAAAACCCAAAAGCAAAAAGAAAAAAGAAACGGATATGTGCAAGCAACCATTCAGTACCTCAGGTTGCATATTCTTGTTGCTCACCTGCCCGCAGCTCCAGGCCTGCCACATGTCGCCCCACAGCTGCCCCCCTCCCTCCACCACCCCCACCAGCTCCCCCACCAACCCCACCCCCTCTCCTCCCTTCCTCCCTCCTCCCCTCGCCTCCAACAGCAGCATCCGCGCCCCTGCTGCTCCTGCTGCTGCTGCTGCTGCTGTTGTTGCTGCTGCTCCTCCGGCTGGGTATTTTCCAGGAAGCTTCTTCTCCAGAAACAGGTCGAGGGAGACGAGGCGCAGGGCGGCGGCGTGGCAGCGCCAGCGCCAGCCAGCTCGCGCCAACTCAGCGGGAGCATATTCCACGTCAGCGGACGACGAGGGGGTGTTGAGGGGTGGAGAGAGTGAGGAGAGAGAGGGGGGGGAGGAGAGGGAGGAGGAGGATGAGGGGAGGGATGGGGGAGAGTGGAGGATGGAGGAGAGGGAGGACCAGAGGGAGGGGTTGGAGCGGAGGTGGAGGAGGAGAGGGAGGAGGGAGGGGAGGAGGAGCGCCAGATGGAGCAGAGGAGACGCAGGAGGAGACAGAGCTGCATGGGATGGCTGAAACAGATGCAGGGGAAGAAGGCAGTGAGGAGCGGGAGAAGGAGAAAGACAGGTGAAGACTTGAGATGGAGAGTGAGGTGAGAGGAATGGAGGGTAACAGAGAGTCAGAATGGGGAAGGCAAGAGGAATGGGGTACAGAAATCAAATCACAAGGCTATGAGAAAAGAGGCAGGGATGCTAAGGGAGGGCAAGACCCACAGTTGAGGCGCCTCAAAAGTCGTTCAAGGCCGGAAGGATAAGCCGTGTGTGATAAGTCGATTTTTGAGTCGACTCAAAAATATCACACAAGACCCACAGTTGAGGCGCCTCAAAAGTCGCTCAAGGCCGGAAGGATAACACTCACGTGGCCATGATGGAAGGCCCTGCAGACAGCAGAGCGATCATTCTGCCTATGTTGGCCTGAGCCCGAGGTGTAAGATTCTCCTTCTTTGAATTGCTAGATCCATTAGTTGTTGCTGCTGCTTGTTTGTCTGTGCTGGTGTTGTTGTTGCTGGTGCCATTGGTGGTGGTGGTGGCACTGCTGCTGGAAGAGAGGAGGCTAGGATGCTCGGCCAGAAGGAGCTGGTGGAGAAACTCAGGCTGCACAGGGAGGGGTGTGGGGGCGATGGAGAACGGTTGGGAAAGGTTGAGAACGGCGCACCGGGGAAGAGTAGTGGTGCTTGGGTGAAACAAGGGATGCTCGGCCGAAAGGAGCTGGTGGAGAAACTCAGGCTGCGCACAGGGGAGGGGTGTGGGGTGAGGTAGAACGGTTGAGAGAGGTTGAGAAAGGTGAGAGTTGGTGAACGCAGGTGCTAGATGGTTGAAGTGGGGGAGGCTCAGCTCGGTTAGTGGAGGACTTGGTGAGGCACTTACTCATGAGTGTGCTGCATGAGATGAGTGAGTGAGTGAAGCGCCGACTTTTGAGGCAACTCAAATCCTAGGAAGGTGCTTACTTGCGAGTGTGCGGCGTGAGTGAGGAGTTGAAGCAGGGGAATGAAGAGGCCAGATGAGGGAGAGGAGGAGGGTGCAGAGGAGGATGAAGGCGCTGATTTGGACGGTGCTGATGCAGCGATGCGGGCTGATTCAACAGCCAGGATGCGATCCACAGCGATCTGAAGGCTGTGAAGCTGCATGGAGGAGGAAGGTGGGCGGGAGGGAAGTGGGCAGTGGGGGGGGGAAGTGGGCGGGGGGGGGGGGGGGGGGGGGGGGGGGGAAGTGGGCGGGGGGGGGGGGGAAAGTGGGCGGGGGGGGGGGGGGGGGGGGGGGAAGTGGGCGGGGCCGCGGGGGAAAGGAGGGCGGGGGGGAAGTGGGTGGGGTGAAAGTGGGAGGGGAGAATGTGAGCGGGGAAGGTTGCGAGTAGGGGCGGGGAGGAAGGGGAGAGGGGGAAATGTGGGAGGTGAAGAGGAAGAAGGGTCATAAAGGGGGGGTTGCAAGGAGGGGTGTGGTGGGCGGGAGTGGTTGGATGGGGAAGGTAGAAGAAAAAAGCAGGGATGGGGTACCATCGAAAGAAGGATAGATTAAGGAATAGGAGATTGAGTAACAAGCCCAGCAGAAAGGGACAAGAGTGGAGAGGAGATGCAGAAGAGAAAACTGGAGGAGATGGAACGAGCCGCAGCTTACAAAGAGTAAGTGAGACGAGTCTAGACGAGTACAGAGCCAAATCCAAGACGAGTCTCAAGACGAGTACAGAGCCAAATCCAAGACGAGTCTCAAGACGCGTACAGAGTGCACACCAGATGCAAGACACTTTATGTTACCAGGTTACGTTACCATCCGGCCAAATCCGATGGCCTAGGATGCGATGAGCTTACAATGGGCTTGGCAGCGGGTTGGGAGAAGAAGGAGGAGAGGACGAGAAGGTGCGGCCTGATGCGAGTGGTGATGGCACAGAGGGTGTGTAGGAAGGTGAGAGAGGCGCGACGTAGAGCCTGCGCGGGGAAGGGTTGAGAATGGAGAGTGGAGAGTGGAGAGTGGAGAGTGGAGAGTGGAGAGTGGAGAGTGGAGAGTGGACAGGCCAGGACACAGCATGAAAGGAGGTGCGGCCTGATGCGAGTGGTGATGGTGCAGAGGGTGTGTAGGAAGGTGAGAGAGGCGCGACGCACGGCCTGCAAGGGGGGAAAGGGAGTAAATCTGGGGTTGAGGGAGAGGATGGGAGGAGGGATGGGAGGAGGGATGGGAGGAGGGATGGGAGGAGGGATGGGAGGAGGGATGGGAGGAGGGATGGGAGGAGGGATGGGAGGAGGGATGGGGAGGGATGGGAGGAGGGATGGGAGGAATTAAAAAGAGATACAGCCTGACCTGCTGAGTGATAATGGAGCCGAGGGAGAGCAACAACGAGGGAGCAGAACGAGGGAGCAGAAACGAGGGAGCAGAAACTAGCCTAAACGAGGGAGGAATGTGATAAAAGCATCTGCAAACCTGTGACTGGCCGAGGCTTGTGAGTGCAGCAAGCGCCGTCACCAGAGGAACGCAATCAAGTCCCACAATAATCGCCCCTGCTCCCTCTCCTCCTCCTCCTGCGGCTGCTCTTGCTACAGCAGTGTCTGCTGCTTCTGCAGACTCTACTGCCAGTGCTGCTGAACGGGTCAGTTGAGTGGCGAGATGCGAAGGGAGGCGAGCAGAGGAGGAGAGAAGAAGAGACTCCAGCGGGGAAACGGGCTGCAGGGAGGTTGAAAGAGAGCAAAGGGAGGGAGAGAGAATAAACGTTGTGAGGAGGGGCAGTGTTATTCTAGTAACTTCAATTCCATTCTTTTTAAGCATCAGCATCAGCATCAGCATCAGCATCAGCATCAGCATCAGCATCAGAATCAGCATCAGCATCAGCATCAGCATCAGCATCAGCATCAGCATCAGAATCAGAATCAGCATCAGAATCAGCATCAGCATCAGCATCAGCATCAGCATCAGCATCAGAATCAGAATCAGCATCAGAATCAGCATCAGCATCAGCATCAGCATCAGCATCAGCATCAGAATCAGAATCAGCATCAGCATCAGCATCAGCATCAGAATCAGAATCAGCATCAGCATCAGCATCAGCATCAGCATCAGAATCAGCATCAGAATCAGCATCAGAATCAGCATCAGCATCAGCATCAGAATCAGCATCAGAATCAGCATCAGAATCAGCATCAGCATCAGCATCAGAATCAGCATCAGAATCAGCATCAGCATCAGCATCAGCATCAGCATCAGAATCAGCATCAGAATCAGCATCAGAATCAGCATCAGCATCAGAATCAGCATCAGAATCAGAATCAGCATCAGCATCAGCATCAGCATCAGCATCAGCATCAGCATCAGAATCAGCATCAGCATCAGCATCAGCATCAGCATCAGCATCAGCATCAGCATCAGAATCAGCATCAGCATCAGCATCAGCATCAGCCTCAGCCTCAGCATGACTCAGCATCAGCATCAGCATCAGCATCAGCATCAGCATCAGCATCAGCATCAGCCTCAGAATCAGCATCAGCATCAGCATCAGCATCAGAATCAGCATCAGCATCAGAATCAGCATCAGCATCAGAATCAGCATCAGAATCAGCATCAGCATCAGCATCAGCATCAGCATCAGCATCAGAATCAGCATCAGCATCAGCATCAGCATCAGCATCAGCATCAGCATCAGCATCAGAATCAGCATCAGCATCAGAATCAGCATCAGCATCAGAATCAGCATCAGAATCAGCATCAGCATCAGCATCAGCATCAGCATCAGCCACGCTCCACTCACAGCATCAGCAGCAGCGGGGCAGAAGGGCTTGAGGCGAATGCAGAGGGCGAGCAGCTCCAGACCCCGGTGCAGTGCCGGCTGCTCTGAACCGCCTGAGACGGATTCAGCACAGGAATCGCCCTCCTGAGTGCAACTGGCTCACTCACCGCATCAGCAGCAGCGGGGCAGAAGGGCTTGAGGCGAATGCAGAGGGCGAGCAGCTCCAGACCCCGGTGCAGCGCCGACTGCTCTGAACCGCCTGAGACGGATTCAGCACAGGCATAGCCCTCCTGAGTGCAACTGGCTCACTCACCGCATCAGCAGCAGCGGGGCAGAAGGGCTTGAGGCGAATGCAGAGGGCGAGCAGGTCAAGCCCATTATGCAGCGCCACCGACTGTTCTGACGATTCAGAACCCGACACAGCCTCTTCAGCACAGGCATGGCTCTCCTCAGAACACCCCTGAGAGCCCCCCTGCGAGCCTCTCCCTGGCAGCACGAGCAGGGCCGACTGCAGTGGTGCTAGCACGGCAGCAGATATGCGTGCATCGGTGAGGAGCAGGTGGAGCAGCTTGGACGCGAGGGCAGAGGCTGAGGAGGACGAGGAGGGTGCGGCTGGTGGTGGGGATGGTGAGGAGGACGAGTAGGGGTTGAATGCCTCACTGCTCATCCCACTGCTGCTGCTACTGCCACCACCACCACTGCCGCTTCTGTTGCTCCACATGCCCGAGCCGACTCTGCTCCTCTTATACGCTCCTGCCTCCTGCCACTCCCCCCGCAGCATATGCTCCCCTCTCTCCTCCCGCAGCATATGCTCCCCTCTCTCCTCCATATCATCCCTTTCCTCCCGCTCCTCCTCCTCCTCTTCCCAGTCGTCCCCTCCTCCTTGGACGCTTCGCCCCTCAAGAAGGGAGTGTGTGGAGCGGAGGAGAGACGAGGCAGCCCAGGGGGCGAGAGAGAGAGTGAGGGAGAGGAGGCGAGACAGCTGGGAGGGAGGTGGGATGGGGGGTTGTCAGGGGAGGGGCAAGAAGAAATGGTTACGGTTGGAAATGTAAAGGAGAGACGAGGCGGCTCAGGGGGAGACAGAGAGAGTGAGGGAGAGGAGGCGAGAAAGCGGGGGGAGCGGGGGAGTACGAGGTCGGGGAGAAGGAGGGGGGTTGGGAGACGGGGAGGTGGGAGGTGATAAAGGAAGAAAGTTGTTGCTCCTCTTCTTTCACTTCACCTTTTAACTGCATCCTCTTGTCACCTCTCACCTTGCCTCCCCTACAGCCTGCCATATCTCCGCTCTCCTCTCTTGTCTTGAGACGTCCCAAAACACTTCTTCAATCACGTCGCTCTCCTCTCTTGTCGGAACCCAAACCTCCGAACCCACAGGCCTCCCCACCACTTCTTGCCCGTCTTTGTTCACCGCCATCCATCCCTTTTCCGTCGCTTGAAGCGGGCAACCAGTCCCCTCGAGGTGAGACGGGGACTTTCTGCTCGAATATTCTACACTCGCATCGGCTGAGTTGAGTGCACGATTCAAAAGGGTGCACCTCTTGAAACGAGCAGTCAGCCCATACGAGCAGTCAGCCCATACGAGGCATGATCCTAAACTAGTAGCCCAAGCACACTTACGGTTATGCAAATTTCTAGCAGTTGTGGAAAACGGGCCGTATCTAAAGCATAATAAGCATCTATGAGCGCTTGGACCAGCTTTGCAAAGTCACACCACTCACATCGTATGCTCTCCTGCCTCTTTCCTCCTCCCAACCTCATGTGTCTCCACGCCCTCCAACCTTCCCTCCCAGCTCTCGTGGTTGGATGTGGCAGAGTGGAGGTGGCAGAGTGGATGTGGCAGAGTGAATGTGGCTGCTGCTTTTCCCCTGCCACCGGTGGGCACGGTGGA